CGGAAGAGATAATGTACTTTATAATCTTGAAACCCAAATAGACGTGACAATAAGAATAAGCAATTATTACGTTTGGATATTTCTTAAGTGTAATACTTTCGAAAATTTTTTCAAAAAACTATGGCCAGTAAATTGGTGGGAAGGAAATTATTTGAACGGATCTGAAGTAAAAATGTATATTGATGGTGATTTTATTATGGCAACTCCGTTATTTATTGAAGAATTTGATGGGGTTTACTTTAATGTAAGTTAAAGAGCCCCCCCCCACCCTTCCTGTTTCTCAGAAAATTTCGAGCTTCGAAAGAGCTGTGTTAGCCGAGGGTACACCCCACTTTACCGTCGCCCACTTTACCGGGTGCCGGCAAACCTTCGTAAAACGGGAAACCTTCCATATAAAAATTAGAAATCACATCCTTAGTGGTGTTAAAAAGTTCCGGTTTAACCGGAACTGAAAGACATAACCGGAACTGAAGGGCCGGAACCGGAACCAAAAAATCCCGGAACTTCCGGCCTACCGGAAACGGAACCGGAACTTCCGGCGAAATACTAGTCCCTACGAACAATGAATTTAAAAATTTTTAAACACATTTTCTAGTGTAATTTTCGGTGCTGAATCTGAACTTAGATCTTATCCAACACTTGATTTTATTTATGATTTTTTATAAGATGCTCGATTATCATGTACAAACATTTATTAGGTACAAGAATGGTGTAATTCGGAAGAGATCTGACGGCTGAGACGAACTAGGGGTGGACGAAGTCAGTCCGGTACCTAAGGACAACCCCGATTTCATTGTACGGGCACTGAGGAGAAGAATTTTCTAAATTTTTAACATTATTAATACAATAATATTTAGTATGACATCGAAAGGTTTAATGTAGTTAATATGCCTACTTCATTTATGATAGCTGAAAGTATCAGCGCAGATAGATACCTACGTTTTAGATTCATAATACACAACGAAGCAACTAAATTTAGTATAAAATTGTTGAATGGCGTAGAGGAGGAGAATCCCTACAGTAATAATTTAAATATTTTACAATTGAAACAGTTCTATTTTAGTTGGAACTGTTGTTTATAGCTTACAAGTATCTGATAATTTGACAAAAATATCAATTAGAACGAAAGACGTAAGTACAACATTATAGAGAACTTAAGTAGTTCATGTACACACCTCATTTATTAGTAAGCTCAAAATGGTCAAAGCTTTGTAGGTAGTAGGCGATATGATGTAGCACGTGTCGTTTGTGAGTAGTGTAGTCTGTTTCACCAAATTCTTCGGTTAACCGAACCGACAACCCGAATCGAAAATCTTCGCGTTTTCGGTTCGGCTCGGATCTAATTTTTGAGTCAACGGTCCCAAGGCTTAGTATAATTAGGCAAATGTCCAGTTGGCTGTATACCTGTCCGCAAAGAGAATCTGCTCTTTTCTTTCCTTTTCTTGCATTTTTTGCGCTGGAAGAAGTGCACCCCCTCATTTTCCGTTTTCAGCATTTTTCCTTCTCAATACCGTATGTATTCCTTTTCCTACTTGCAAAATAAATTTTAAAAGAATTTAAAAATATTTTAAAAAATATATTTATTTTACAAATAATTAATAAATAAAAAATACCCCGTAAATACTCTAATTGAAGCCCTGGGCTTATATTTTTCAATAGGTCTCCTTAGATGGGCTTATATTAGAGGTGGGCTTCTACATTCTCCCAGCGCAAAAATTGCAAGAAAAGGAAAGAAAAGAGCAGATTCTCTTTGCGGACAGGTAGACAGCCAACTGGACATTTGCCGTATAATTAACAAATACCTATTGTAGCTTAAATTATTGGCGAATAGATGGGAAATAATGGGGTTTATCTTGCGAATAAATGGGGTGTAATTTGTTCGAAATCGGCAAATCCAACCGATCATTATATCATGCGAACCAGCTCAAAGAGCCCTTTCAAATGATCTATGGATAAAATTATATATCAAGCAAAAGACCCAAAATGGTCTGGAATTCAGGAAAAAAGTGGGAGATAGTAAATGCCACTATTACCCAAATTTTTTGTTAAGTAGGCCTGGCAAGAGAAGTCAAAAAATTTTCCTTATAAAAAGTAAGAATTGATATGGTACCATGCGTTTATCCACCCACATTTTTCTTTAAGAATGTACATAATGGTCAGACTTTCTAATTTCCTCAATTCCACTCTATTTTCATGTGGAATTTTAAATGAGAGTCATTAACAAAGAGTGGAATTGCACACTGGTTAAATCAAGCCCTAATATAGACTTTCAAAACTAGCACATTCGAACTAAACTTTAAAATATATAAATTTAAGTGTTCTCCAAACTACTACTTTGAATGTATTAATAGCGGCTTATTTGACAAAAATGAATGTAATGAATTTAAGTGTAGAACAAATATTTCATCAGAAATATTTAAAAAAGGGAAGGGATTTGAGGTTTATTTACATGTTAGTAATCAAATCAGAAAAAGAAAACCAACATCATTAATTGAAACACACATTAATGGTATACTTATGAGTGATTTGACAATAAGAACTGATTTCCAAATTTGGACAATTAATAGAATAACGGTGGGGTTTTAAAAGTCTTTTTAGTAATGTAAGGCCGGGATCATCCTAAAAACCCTTGAAGAGCAATCATCTTCCCAAAGAGAAGGCAAATGGGGAGCAGGCCGAGGTACAGCAAGCCCAAGGTACTTGGTAGGGTAAGTGAATATGTACCGTAATTACCAATTAATTAAGTACCCAAGGTAAAAGCCTAAGTACCCAAGGTACTCTATACTTACCCAAGGTACTTATTTCAAAATGTCGAATCCGGGACGCCCGGGTATGGTTCGATTCAACTTATTCAGTTGAATCAACTCGTACAAGGGCATCCCGATCCGACAATTTTGAACGAATTTATAGCTCTGCGGTACTATAACTTTAACCGGTACTATAACCTAGTGCTTGCGGTACCTTTAGATGTATTCGGCAAGGACGCCACAAACGAACATTCCCAGAGTTATTAGCCGCCCATTATTTAAGCTTAACTTCGCCACTAACTAAAGCGATTGGGAAGTAAGTCTGTGCATAAAGGCTCTAAAATAATTTTAGAACCGGATCCGGATCCGGAATTTCAATAAAAATTCTATAAAGTATTATCTTAGTTGGATGGCGATATTCAGCTTTTGGAAAATACTATTACCGATGGTGAGCCTCAAAAACCACCATATTTGCTTAATAGAAGAAAGATATATGAGCTGAAGAGATATGGAGTAATCGTTTGTTTTGAGGCTAAGGTATCGCCAGCTAATGGAACGAAAATTTTTGATTTTAATGTAAAATTAATTCACGATCCGGAGATTTCTAATAAACTTGGTAAAATTTTATTAATGTTGACAAGTCTGAATAAGGCTTCTTAAGATCAATTTTAAAGATGATAGTTTGGTTCAGACCCCCCCCCCCCCCGTTTTAATGCTTCCCTGACCATTTTGAGCCTTTTGCTTGTTATATTCAAAAATATGGAATTCGAAAGAGCTTTTCAAGCTGGGTGGGATGATGTAAAAATCGGTTAAATTCAGTGATATATGGGCAAAAATAGATAAGAATCTTAAAAGTTTTCATCGGATCGGCTTCGGGCCGAGAAAAAGTCCGGATCTCAGGTTGGGGTTCGGATCGCTTTAAGGGAATACGGTACTTATTTACTCTGCCCTCACCAACCCCAGTCAATTTTCTGGGTAAATATGTAAAAAATGGTCAGTCAAATGACACATATTCGAATGACACTAAGATCAAACCCTGGTCTTAATCTTGTCCGAAATGCAGACATAAACCTGCGCAAATTTCTATGGATAGGGGTTCTGGTAACCCGTGACATCCCTAATATAAAAGAAAAATGCTACTTTTGTTCCAAACTATTCCTGCCCATTAATATTTTTAAATATTTCTAACTTAATAAGATGTTGACATTGTATTGGAGCTTGAGTTTACTTTTGATCCCGATATAAATAGAATTGATAATGGAACTATTAAGCATGCTAAGAGAGGACTGTACTCCGAGTTAGTTATGCGAACCGTTTCCAGAAGAAGAATTCAACTTTATGAACGTATCCACTCAAATCCAATTGAATCTTGCATGCCTATAATTGTGATAATTAAATCAGCATCTGATCACTACATAATTAATATTAACCAAGGAGAAAATATCTACTATCCGCATTTCGGATATCCTCCTTGGGCAATAAATCGTGTTGAGGTAAGCTTTTTGCACATTCTCTAAGAGGTCTGCTGAACCCATACCCAGTGTTGAGCCAAGAATAATGGAATATTGAAGAAATACTAATTAATTAATGATGTAAGTCCAGCCGGACAATATACACCTCTCACTCCTTAAGAGCGATTAAACGGGCTTACACTTGAATGATTAACACTTGAAATGGCTTACACTTGAAATATTATTACACTTGAATGATTTTAAAAAATTTACACTTGAATGATTAACTGACGGACTAATAGACTGATCTGTTCCTTCACTTATTCCTAGGATTATATTGGTTATAGTACATAGGCGGGGTTGATGGGGAAGTTAAGGGGTGTACCCTTTACAATTATATATGGAGGTGTGCAGAGGTTGATAGGAAATAACGAAGGTGCCGGAAATAGGAACTGTCGGAACTCGGAAATAGCTCGAAAGTTTTAACTAGTAAATTGGAAATCAGCCCATATTTTTGGAAATCGGAAGATTTTCCGAAATTTCGGAAATCGGAAGGGAAAAAACGTTGGAACTCGGACGTCGGAATTCCGATCGACCCTGGAGGAGTGTTAAGAATTTTATATACATGTTAGATTGAGGTAGCCTTATTGCTTCAGGATCAATGAGCGGATGAGATTTAGCTTGATAAATGTGCGTAGATAACGACAACCACAAAACCCTTATTTATTCAAATTTGTTTATTTCAAGATCACTGGCTTTATTGAAAACGTTGAATTTGACCAAAGATTCTGGTAGATGTCTAATGCTAACACATGATCTCCCAAAAGATATCCCAAAATTTGAATTGGATGAAAATACCAAAAGATTAGAACGACTATTAGATGATAAAAGCGAAGTCATAGTTGAAGGGCATGTACCAAATCCTTTCCAAAGAAGCATTAAAGTTAATTTTCTTCATGCTGCCATTGAATCACAAACTGAATGTTTGTTTTAAACTTTAGGATTTGATGACTCTTTTACCTGGGATAGCACCCCGAGCCTTCGGAGGCAAGAGTGTCGGGTTTCGGGGTTTGCCAGGGTAGAGCCTTATGTGTTCGGGTCAGTGTTTTTGCTTAAAAATTCACTGGGGATCTTTCGAACCGGGCCGGATCGGGCCCCCAACTATTAAAAATAACTAGATTTATGAAGTTTAATAATTCAAGAAAAATAAATTTTGTAAAATTAGTAATGTTAAGGATATTCGAGAACCTTGAAGAGTTAAAGTGTAGGGAATCGGAACATGTTCACAGTGCCAGAAAGTAGTCGAGAAATCTAAATTGAGACCAAATCCCTCCAATGCTCGTATTATCTCCCTAAAAGTCTTAATTTCTTTATTTAGTTGGCAGCACAGTCTTTGAAATGGATATTAAAAGAAATTCTACTTGCATAGATTCATATACGGTACTTAATTTTAAAATAATTTCTAGATCTTTCTTATGATTTAAAAACTAGATCTAACATAAGTCTTAAGATTTAATTAGATTAGAACTTAAGATTTAAAATCTTACTTATGATTAAGGCCCGTGTATTTGGAAATAAATATCTGCCATTTTTATTTGCTTTTTCATTTTACAGGGTGCGCCATAAGTAACCGGACACTTGTTTTCTCTCATAACTTTATTAAAACACAATCAAATAAAATCGAAATACAATCAAATGATAGAGAATTAAATAAGGAACAATAATAATCAAGAAAATTCGAGATGCCCAACCTTGGCTTTGATACAGAGGCGAAGGCGCGAAGAAAAATTTTCGCAAATAGCACGCACCTCCTTGAGTGTAATTAAGTCCCACCCTCGGGTGAGAGAGTGAAGCAAAAACTCCAAACTTTTATGAGGCATAGCACAGGCCCTGGACTCCAAAATAGACCAAAAAGAATTATCCATCGAGTTTAGATTCGGGGAGTAGGACGGCCATTACTGAACGCTAATGAACCCAGGAAAATTGGCCATGCACCAGTCCTGAACTTCTTTCGCCTTGTGTGCCGGAGCAGAGTCCTGTTGGAAAATCCAGACTCTGCGACCGAAATGGCTCTTGAACCGAGGCTTCAGAACACGCTAAAAAAATTCACGCAAGTAATAGTCTTTGTTGACTTTTACACCAAAATCCACGAAAATAAGGGGTTTTTTGCCTGACGCACAAATACCGGCCAAACCTTGACAGATTGGGGATGTTTGGAATGTGTGATAAGCTTATCGGAAAGAGGAGATTCTGTAGTCCTAATTCTATGATTTTGATGGTTGTGAACGGATTTTATTGTAAAAATTTTTTTGTCTGTTAAAAGAATGTCCGGACATGCGTGCCACTGAAGGAGCAGTTTGCATCTTGAAAGCCTAACTTTTTTGGTTTTTTCTGTGAGAAGTTGTGCTTTTTGGATTTTGTAGGGTATTAACCCAAGTTTATTTTTAGTTATTCATCTGACGGTCCTCTCACTTATTCCGGTGTCACGAGCCACTTTTCTTACGGAGGGTCGATAATTGAGGTGCACCCAGTTTTTGATCATTTTAATATTCTTGGAAGTCTTTACGGAACGAGGTCTTTTACTTTTTTGTAAGTTCATAGTTGTGCCATGATTATCAAATTAATTTAAAAAATTTTTTCTCCCAAAAAATTTTCACCAGAATTTTTTGATTGTGTATTGTACAGTGCTATATGGGGCATTCAAAAGAGATGAAATTTTGCGGACTGAATTTTTTTGTAAAAAAAGTGAGATTATAGAATCACGTTGACTAGCCATAATAGAGAATTGAATGAGCTAAAAAATAAGCCTAAAATCAATTAAAAATATTGACAACAAAAAAAGTTATAAGGAATTTAAAAGTGTCCGGTTACTTATGGCGCACCCTGTACTACCTAATCTTAGGAATTTGGTGCCTTAAAATTTAGCCACTATTGTAAAACAGGGCTCTCATTCGTGCTTTATTTGAAAGTATTATACTTTGAAACCGACCTCCATACTTAAGAAATTGAATTTATACTTTATTGAAAGTATATACTTTAAAATCAACATTTTGGATTGAAAATGAAATTGGGGAAGGGATTGGGCAAAAAAGTGAATTTTTTTAGCCTTGGGCCTTCGAAATTATCAAAATTTTCGCCTGCGGCGCTGAAAAAGAAAGAAATCTGGCTTCTTGGGCTCCAAATTTCAAAAAATTTTCGCCTGCGGCGCTGAAAATGGGAGAAATCTGACTACTTGGGCTCCAAATTTCAAAAAATTTTCGCCTGCGGCGCTGAAAATGGACGAAAGCTTGAGGTTAAGACTGTCAGGGCTTTATTTCTTGTATCAGCGAATTTTGACATGTCATGCGTTGAAATGCACAAAATGCCCAATGGAAGCAAGAAATTATTAGAAAAGATTCATTTAAGAGAGAAATATAAAAGATTTGAGCACGAACAAATATTTTCCAATTTAATTTTGAGTATACTTTAAATTTGGAAATTTTCTCCCTATATACTTTTTTATCAAGATTTTGATACTTTTGAGTGGCATTTTGTCGATGAGAGCCCTGTTGTAAAATATATCCGTACTTCTCGTGATCTTATGGGTGGGCGAGCTTTGTTCATGGACTTTCCTAACCATTTCACTTTAGTATGTATTATAGACTTCCAAGTCCAAAAATTTCCAAGACCGAAAATTTCCAAGACTCAAGACCCAAGATCGAAAAAACACCAAGAAAAGTCTTGAGGCAAGAATCGAGACCAAGAGTCCTTAAAGTCTCTAGTATGTATCGCCATTTACTGTTACTCATGCCATTTACATGCTTATGTTTATATAATACATTGTTTTACCAATAGATCAGTTCCCAGTTAAACAGCCTTTAATGTGTGCCACAAAGAGAAGCACACCGGTATGGCCTTGTAAAGGTTAAGCGATTGTCTGGCCAGCCCAATAGCTGTCCTAAGGGATTATAATGGTTTTATGTGCCTAGGATGGACCAACATGGACCCAACATCCACTTAATTCTATTTATAGTTATTATTTAACAGAATAATGTTTCAATAAATTCGAAAAAGAATACAACAATGTGTTTCAACCATACTAATTTAATTGAAAACGAATTGATAAAATTAATTTTAACTTTTGGAAATAGCTCCTTTCAACTTTTCTATATATTAGAGACAAAAGAAAATTTTGTAGAAAATAATGTCACCTTGGATATACCCATATCTTTGACAGAATATATTAACGTACGTTATAGTATATTTACAAGTGGTGTGCCAATTTCGCGTTTCGTCTTTCGCGGAATTTCGTCTTTTTGGACTTTCGCGTTCACTTTTATTTTAATAGGGTTGCGTTTTGGCCTGACAGTCTTTTTCGTGGCAAAATTCGATGCCCGACTCGATCTTTCGGAAACGACCGGGCCGGCAAACCTATTTTTAAGTTTCCTTTCGCGTTTCGCCTTTCGCTTTTTTAAATCTGTTTCAGCACACCCCTTAGATTTACATACCGTATTATTTCTAATATAAAGGCCCCATCTATTTGAATGGCCCCTGTAATTGAATGACCCCCTAGAAGGTGATTGACAAATAGAATGGCCGGCCATTCTATTAGCGATAATACGGTATGTTGTAGTTAATTTAAATTATTTTAGGTTGAAGAATTGGATAATACTGATATATCTATAAAACATGGCTGAGATCTATTTTTGAATATTGGTTACTTTATTTTGTTCCAACACCATTTACATTCTTAATTTACATCGTCGCATAATTTAAAACGATAAAATTATTAGACTATTATTACCCATCTATAGTTATAACAAAGTCGTTTGGGATAAGGTTGTCGGATAGTTGGAAATCTTCGGATATCCGGATCCGATATCCGAACCGAAAATTTCCTGATATCCGGTCTTTTTTCTGATCCGGATCCGACAGCCTTAGTTTGGGATTCTGATTTTTGTGGTTCGAAGAATTTTTTAGTTTAAAACAGCTCTGATTCATTATTATTTGTATTACTATTTAATTAATTTATTGCAAAAATATCCGTTTTAAATAAAAATAAATCAATGTACATTTGTTTATAAACAAAGGCTGGCTATAAAGTTAGCACTATGTAAAAGCTGGCAGTTTATAAAAAACTAGTGTAATCTAATCTAACATAAATAAATTTCCATTTGATCATTTATTGACAGTGAATAATTTTATGTATTTTGCCTTATTTTTTAATATTTATATTTTTATATTTATATATATTTATATATTTATATATTTTTAATAATCCAACACCATTTCGTTGTCTTGGAGTGATTATGAGTGGTCATTATCCATCGAGGAGTTATCCATCCCTTGGAGTGATATCCCTTCCCCCCCCCCCTCTATTTGTAACGAATTGCTTTTTATATATTTTTTTGTTAGGAAAATGATCAATTTCCTAATCAAATTTCTCATTCTGTTCTGTCTAATAATCAAAACCCATGCATGGGATTGGGGTGATTATCCATCCCCTAGAGCATCCACTTATTTTAAATGTGGTATTCAGAACCGGACTTATGTTTGTGATCCTGACGCAATGTTAACTGATCATCAGAGAAAAGAAATTATTAAATTAGTTGAGGATTTTAAGGAGAAAACCAAAAGAGTAAGGAGACTATTTAAATTTAATTTTCCCGCCAATTTCAATTTTATAGCCTAATTCGACAATTCCATGTATAAGAGAAGGACTTAGACTTATTGTGGCATTAGCGAAAATTAGTATGGATGCTACTCACTCTGGATTTACCGTATGTTCTTAATTAAGAGGACAGGGCTGAACAAATGCGGATCAGTGCTTTGGAATTATTCGGAGATAAAATAGATTTGGTGGGAAAAGGGATCATAGTCGAGAGCCGATGTTTCTCTGAGCCGCCCCATAATGGCTGAATATTAGTTTCGGATAATAACTTCCTCCCTTTAGCGCCGTAAGCAAAAATTTTTAAAGCTTTTGGAAGGCTACGAAGCCAGATTTCTTTTTTTATGTTGAAATGTTCGAGTTTCGAGTCGAGTTTTCGAAAAACCCCAGGCCGGGTTTCGAGCATCTGGTTTCGGTTTAAGGTTTCGAGTATCTGCTGTGGAATTGCGGCAGAGGACATATGTAGGACTAAGTTCAGTTCGGACACTAAACTGATTAGAAAGACTTGTGTTCGATCAATGATTCAATTTCAACATTAATAAAGTGAGATTTAATACCAATTAAATTTCATAGTATTTGTGCCTCGATGGCATAAAATGGACATCATCTGACAAAACAAAATGCGAGTCCGATGTACAGGGTATTGAATTAAACATGGATGCCGTTCGCTTTTGCTCTCAGACATATTTAACTTGGAATCTTCCTGACGCCGAATTTTCAAAGCTTAGAGAAGAGGTAAAGATCATAGAGTTAAAGAAAGTTGATTATCAACATAGGTATATACCTAGTTTGATAATTTGACACATATTCTGGATATCACAACAGAAATGGATACTGTATAAGCTCGAATAATTACCCCTAGGTAATTATATTTCGGTACTCTGCGGGTTCTTTCCGATGAAACCCAATCCGAAGGAAATTTTGAAGATCTGATCCTACAGGCTTTTTTCTCGACCCGTCCTCCCCTGATTCTGTGGGGAGGGAGCTAACCGGAGAGAACCTCCGGAGGGATGTAGTAATATTTGTGAAAGGGTACTTATAGAAAATTGAGAGGGTACTTATGTGAACGAGCCGTGTCGGGATCCTAATTTCCCGAAATCGGGAATTTTATTTTTATGTCGGCTCGTTCCCTGATATGCAACTTTACTATAATAAATTTCATTTGAATTTAATACTCCCATTATTTTTTACAGAATCCTCTACTAAAAAATGGAAATTATTTTGCTGCGCTAAAGGGTTATATTGAAAAATTGCAAATGCTTTACATTCAACGCTTCTCGATCTTCGATAACCCTGATGCTTCTAATGAGACTAACATGAAATTATTAGAATTTAACGCAGCTATAAGGGAGTCTAACAAATATGGAATAATTTCAATCATATTTAGCTTGATCCTTAGTACCGTGCTCTTATTTTTAATTCGCCAAATACGCCTACTTAAAAATGATCTTAATCAGAGGAATGCTCCAAAGATAGAACTTCAATTAATGACACCAATACAGCCTGTTGAAGCTGTTGAAAATAAGAAAGATAAAAAGAAGGAAGTTGAAGAAACCCCAAAAAATTTATTAAACCTTTAAATTTCTCTAAATTCAGTCAGACACACTATAAGACACTCACGGGGATTGAAAGAATCGTAACTTATACCGAGGCTATCTTAATAGGGAGTACCTATTGAACAATTAAAGCATACACTAGAGTGGGCAAAAACACATTCCCGGGATTGGATCCCTCTGGATTGGAGGGGGGGGGGGTCATTCAAAATTTATCATTCAAAACGCAGGATTCCGGCTGGGATCTCTTAAAATCCACTCTCGTGTACTCTCTCTCCAAACCTTATTATACACCTTTTGAAGTGAGGCTTGACTGTATTATTCTTTAAGTTAAAGATCAATTTAAATTACTGAGTAATTATAATGTTCATCCTTAAAGATAAAGAAGATAAAATTTTTGAAAATTATTTTTGCAAAAATAAAGTCACAAGCAGTGCTGGGTATTTGCCATTTGTTGGCTCCGGCTCCGGCTCCGGGCTCCGGGGTTTCAAAATCTTGGCTCCGGCTCCGGCTCCGAGCTCCGGGGTTTCAAAATCTTGGCTCCGGCTCCGGGCTCCGGGGTTTCAAAATCTTGGCTCCGGCTCCAGCTCCGGCTCCGGAGCCGGCGATTTTCGGAGCCGCTCCATGTTGGCTCCGGGCTCCGGGTGGAAAATCAATGAATTATTTTTCATTGGAGGATCTAGGTATATAAAGGGGGATGTCGAGTGATATAAGAGGATTAAGAGGGTTATCAACGGATTAAGCGGAATTTGGGTGGATTATCTTGTCAATTAAGGGCGATATCGGGGAATTAAGCTGGATTAAGGGGGATTTGATTTTTCATTCTCATTATCACTCGCTTTTTTTGCGCCGCAGGCGAAAATTTTGAAAAATTTGGAAGATCCTCAAGCCAAAAATCATCCTTTTTTGCGCCGCAGGCGAAAATTTTGAAAAATTTGACTCACAGGAGACTAAAATTAATCAATTTAAAAAATTTATCCAGCTTTATTTATTTAAAAAAGGCCTATCATAATTTATTTTTTAAAGGAAAAAAATTATTTATCATTTTTTGTAATATTTTTCGAACCTATAACTGGATAAAACTCGTAGCCTATCTCACTATCCATTCAACCACAACTACATTACAAAGGAAAGGAAAGAAAATCTTTTTTTCCCGTCTCAATTTTCTCTTCCTTTTCTTTTCTCGCCTACCATCTTTGCTTACTTCTTTTTCTCTAACCCATCTTTAGGGGTGTATAGCCGGAGCCATGGGGAATTGAAAAACCTTGGCTCCGGCTCCGGCTCCGGGCTCCGGGGTTTGAAATTCTTGGCTCCGGCTCCAGCTCCGGCTCCGGGGTTTTCAAAATCTTAGCTCCGGCTCCGGCTCCGCCGGAGCCGGCTCCGGAGCCGGGCTCCGGAGCTAGCTCCCGGAGCCATACCCAGCACTGGTCACAAGGGATGATTTAGTTAGCATGTCCAAGCATTTCTTTAATTCCTTGGCCAATCAAGGGCTCTTCAGTTGAGGTAAACTGAGATTGGGAGTCATTCTTAAGTTAGGTTAGCTTATAACTGAGAGTGTTAGGTATGTGTGGGGTTTAGCCTAAAAGTAGACGTTTGTTCAGTCTTAGTTGGCACCTGGACCTATCTGGATAAACATGTTAATCTATTCTTGTGTTATTCTGTTAGGACTAGGGTTGTCGGTTCTTGACCGAATTGAACCGATGAACCAACGATTTTTCGGTTGGGTTCTTCGGTTTGAATCCGGATATTCAAAGATTTTCGAGGAACAGACAACCTAGCTAGGTCATAACGCTAGGTAATCATTGTACTTATAGTTAAAGTTCAAGACTAAAAATATTTTTATATTTTTAAAATTTTTTTGCAAAAAGACGAGATCAGTTTTTTCTCTTCTCTCTCTGACAGTGTCACTCTCTATTATATACCTCTTAAACAAAGTTTTATTTTTTTAGTGCGCGTTGACTATTTTATTCTTTAGTTTAAAGATTAATTTTTTCTTGCTGAGTAATTATTTTACTTATAATTAAAGTTTAAAGATATTTTTGGAATTAAAAAAATTTGTTTTGCAGAAGTCTGTCTCGAGGAGTGATTCACTTCCCCTCTCATTTCCCCTCTAATCAAATTAACTTCAAAGTTGTTTGTAGTAAAAGTGTCTGTTTCCTTCCCCCACTGGCTGTCTCCTTCCTCAAAAGTTGAACATGCATTCTATTTTAACCCTTCCAATATTTAAAATAAAAAAGTTAAAGATCGAATACTAATTTAATTATTTTAGATCTTTAACTTAATTTACTATAATTTTTGAAAAAAGGAGGGGAGAAGGACTAAACCACAAACTAAATTTTTATATTTTTCCCCTTGAGAGATGTTCAAAAATTGAGAGGAATGTTCAACTTCCTAATTATAATCTGTCTAATAATCAAAACCCATTCATGGACTTGGAGTGATTATCCATCCCCTATAGGGCCAGATTATTCGAAATGTGGTGTTTCACACCCAACCTATGTGTGTGATCCTGATGAAATGTTAACTGATCAACAGAGGAAAGAACTTGTGGATTTAGTTGAGGGTTTTAAGGAAAAAACTAAAAGGGTATTGAATTTATGATTTAAAAATATTTAATTTTTATAGCCAAATTCAATACATCATTGTATGAGAGAAGGACTTCGACTTGTTGTGGCATTAGCTAAAGTTAAAATTGGTCCTGGAGATAATTCTGTAAGGATGATTCACCTAGCAGCATTTAGAACGCTTAGGCAAACGATACAAAGGATAAAAGAGAAAAGATTAGTAAATGCCCCGGTTCCTCAGTAATAGAGCTTCTGTATATGGTGAGCGAAAGCGCGTAGCGATAACTGTCAGGTTTTTCTCCTTCAAACTGGCCCAGTGAAAAGAAGTAGAATACAAAAAGCGGATTTCAGCAAAACAAGTAGGGTTTAATTAATTTGATTTGAGTTGACACTTGGAAGGATTCTAAATAAAAAATGCTACTTATATCTTTTTGTGATTAAGTGAGTGAGAGATAAAATGATACAACAATTTAGACTTTGTGCTCAAATAAAGGAAGATGGACGACATCTGATGGTACAAAATGCGAATCCGACATACAAGGTATTGAATTAAATACAGATGGTGTTCATTATTGCCATTGGATGCATTATTTAATGCAGATTCATAATGAAGAATTTGAAAAGCTCGAGAATTCATGGGTAAAAAATGAAGTTAATTTAATTAAGATTTGTTTATTATATAGACAAGTCATCTCAAAAATAAAAATTATTTTGCTGTACTAAGGAGTTACATTATATACTTGCGGATGCTTTATATAAACCGCTTCTTGATTTTTGATAATGCTTCTAATGAGGATAACATAACACTAAAAGACATGCACCTTTCATTGCAAGATACTAACAGAAAATTAGCAGAAATACAGCAATTACAAGGCCAAATACCTTGGAAAAACATACCTACTTCTAAATTTATGGGTATATTTTCTAAGAATTTGTGAGTTTTTTAAATTTATTATATTATGGGGTATGTGACACCTTTATTAAAGGACGGAAGCGCAATCAAAATATCCTTGGTTCTTCTATAATCGTTCTGAATGAAAATCTGCACCCTATATTAATTTAAATCACACTGATCCTTCGAACAATTTAAATCACATTTCATTGTCGCAGGCGAACATTCTAAGAAATTTAGAAGGTCAAGGGACAAGATATCTTCCTTTTAGGGTAAGTGAAATTGGGTGAAAATAGCGTAAAAATCCGTAAACTAAATCCGCATACGAAATCCGGAATCCGCAAAAAAACGAAATACGAAATCCGCAAAGATCACCACGTGATAAAACAATTTCAGCGTAATCACTGGTTTCTCCTGGGTGGCTAGAACTCGTACCTATTTTATAATAATTTTCTTCAATTTTAGATTAGTAATCATCTTTTGTTTGACCATCTTCTGTATAATTATTGGTTTGGGGCTTTTATATTTATTTTACCGTATGCGTCAATTTGAAAATTATTTTACTCAGAGGAATGCTTTGAAAACTGAAATTCAATTAATGACACCATTGCAGCCTGTTGAAGTAGTTGAAAAAAGGAGGGAAAATGAAGAAAATGAGGAATCGACAAAACCTTTATTAAAAGATTAATTTTAATACAATCTGACTCACTCAAAGATACGCCAGAGACCCTATCGTAAGTGAGTGTTCAATAACCCTTTAAATGCTGGTTTTGATTCAATCTTTCTCTGCAAGCAATTATTTTAGCATTCCCGATAAACTTACTGCAACTTGTCACCCAATTTTTCGCAAGCTCAAAATAGCATAGTAAATCTATGGGAGCAGGCGAAACGCTTGTGCAGAACACGTTTCGCGTGGTGTTTTGTATTATTTTGCGGCACGCGACTCGTGGAAGTCAATTGTTTGTCGATTTAGTACCTACTAACATAAGAAATTGTTAACTTCGTAGGAAATACCTCTATCTCAAAAAGGGATATCACTTAAGCAGCTTCATCACCATTTACTAGTGACTGGGGCCGAAAGCCGATTCGGCCGGATTTTCCCGGAGCCCGGGTCCCAAATCCAGATTTTTTAACAATTTCCTGCTGGAGTTAACCCTCTTACTTACTGTTGTGTCCGCACTTGCAGAAAGAACATAAATGAAAATAAATAACCCATCATCGGTTTGGATGGTGGCACAGTCGGTTGTGCTTCGGTCTGGGCTCATTCCTTGATGGTTCAATGCCATCTCCCATCCACAATTTTTCCACAGCATGAGAACATAGAATACAATACTTACTATTTCTAATATTGGATGTATCTTACAGTGAGGTTTGTCTGTAACTAAGTTTGTTAATTGTCTAATTATTGTTAACTTAATTTAAAGAATTAATCAGTAATTATTTTTTTTATTTTTAAACTTGAAAAATTTTTGCAAAAATTTTTCGATAAATGAGAACATTTAACCTGTTTGGTTCGATTAATTTCACCGTTGTCTAGCAACAAATTTTTGCTTCCGTTCAATATTGAACACCTTATAAATATTAACACTTAATATTTAAAAAATAGAAAAACTAAAGATCAAATACTATTTACCAAATACTACTAGGTGTTTAATTTAGTTGCTGAAAAAAGAAGGTAGAAAGATTACACCTCAAATTAATTTATTTATTCTTCCAATGAGAGAAATGTTCAAATTTTTTATTATAACCTGTCTAATAACCAAAACCCATTCCTGGACTTGGGATGATTATCCATCCCCTAGAGGAACAACCTATTGGAAATGTGGTGTTTCTAAACAAACCTATCTTTGTGATCCCGATGAAATGTTAAGTGAACAACAAAGAAAGGAAATTGTAGAATTGATTGAGGATTTTAAGGAAAAAACTAAAAGAGTAAGGAGAATATTTAAATTTTATTTTCCCGCCAATTTTAATTTTATAGCCAAATTCCATTTATTCATGTTTGAGAGAAGGACTTAGACTTGTTGTAGCTTTAGCGAGGGATAAAGTTGGTCCTGAAGATGGTTCAGATAAAACAACAGTATGTTATTAATATAGTTTGGTTGATTGCGTAATTTTTTTCTAATTTTGATTGTGTGACTTTAAAACCAAAACACTGAATGTTGAATTGATTTAGATTGATTAGGATAGTAAAGCAGCTGGGCTATAGCTATTTCTCTCCTTTAGCTAGTGCAAAAGGTTAATCGGCGGCGGGAGCGAACCAGCATCTTCAGTAGACCGGACTGATGTGTTAGCCATTACACCACGCCGCCTACTGCACAGCCTTAGGAAATTAATAGCTATATGCTTTACAGGATTGACATTGATCAAATAACACTTAGAGATCGATCTGGATCATGTCTGTCCAGATCCAATCATTTTTTGATCGTCCTGGATTTTTTCTAGCTTTGGATTTTTTCTAGGTTCAGATCAAGAATTCTGTCCAGGTTACTAACCTAAATCCAGATCCAGATCCAGGATTTTTGAAAATACCGATTTCTAATAAGATTTAATAGAACGATTAAATTTTATTCTTTAGTATTTGTGCGAGAATGATAGAAATTGGACGGCATATGATTATATAGAATGCATGTTAGTACATGGAATTGAATTAAATAGAGATGGTTTTCGTTATTGCAATTTGACGCGTCATTTATTGCACCTTCGTAAAGAAGATTTTGAGAAGCTCGAACAAGCATGGGTAAAAAATTATAAAAACACACAAAATCTCGCAACAAAATCCCTCGAAATTCTTAAACCATGGAAATTTCTTACAGACCGGTTAACCGCTTGGTTAATTGTTCCCTATGGTGGGTCTTTTCTTCTCTCTTCCTTTCTCTTCGGAATTTTTGCTACCCTGCTATAGAGCAAGGTCTGAGAGATTTACCACTCGATAGGGGTTAAATGGCCAAAAAGTGGTTTTCATATAGTACTGGTTAACCAAAGGTCAAATGACATAGTCATTTAAAAAAATCAGAGATTTTTCTTTCAGTAGCAAAGGTACCTACAGTATTAGGACCACAAACCATGTTCTTATTGTACAGGCCTATTAGGGTGCATTTTTCTATTTCGTTCATCCGAAATTTTAGGCATTTCTTTTTGAATCAAACGAAAGAAGAGCGAAACGAAGAGAAAGAAGAGCGAAACGAAACGATTTTCGATCATCCCTTTCGCAAACCTAAAACTCTAAACGACGCGCAGCCATAACGGCGTAAAGCCATAACTTGGTGATTTTTTTGGTACCAAGTTATCTCCTTAGCTCTATGAGTGGAATCAGTACTAAATTTTGAATAATTTCTGTATTTTCTGTATTATTTAGAAAAACCATCTCTACCAAAATCATTATTATGATGCGTTAAGGCATTATATTAGAAGTTTACGCATGCTTTACATAGACCGTTTCTCTATTTTCGATAACCAAGATGCTTCTAATGAGGATAATATAACACTATCAGAAGTGCATCATTCATTGCAAACTACTAATAAAACACTATCAGAAATGCGGCAATCTCTTGATCAACAGAACAAAAAATCAACGGAATTTAGCACATCTATAGAGGATCTTAACAAGAAATTTCTAGAAATGAGACAAGTACAAGACCAAATTCTTATTGGAAAAAATATAACTACACTCACAAGATTTCCTTCATCTAAGCAATTCTCCAATAATTTGTGGGTTTTATTTTGTATTAATACTAGAGGGGTTGTCGGTTCTAGAAATTCTTAGGATATCAAAACTTAACCGAAAATTCCTTTATTGTTCTGTCCATTTCCGTAACAACGTCAAAGTTATTACCGTATAACCTGATTAATTCCCCCCCTCAAATAATTACCCCACTTCCATTAATTACCCCAATCAACGATAGATTGAAACAATAATTACCCCAAACAAATGCCATAAAACAGTTTCAAATTTTAAACCTCGTAATTCCCTCCCTCGCCTAAGTACTCCCTAAAGCGGAAGGTCGATTACCCAGGGTGTTTATTAAAGGATATACGGTATGTACATATTATAGATGTTGCCAATTGGCAGCCTCAAGGCTGATAATTCCCCCTGCATTTACAATATTCTGATAATAATTTTAGATTAGGAATAATATCAATCATAATTTCATTAATTATTGGTTTGGTGCTTTTATTTTTAATTTGTCAAATACGCCAAATAAAAAATTATTTCAATCAGAGGAATACAATAAATGAAGTGCAATTAATGACACCAATACAACCTGTTGAAATTGTTGAGAAAAGGAGAAAAAAGAAGGAAGAAGAGGAGGAAGCTTCAAAGCCATTCTTAAACCTTTAAAATTCTTTAAATAAAGTCAAACCTCACTTTTATTATCCCCACTTAGGGCAGAAACATTGTATCTTTTAATGAGCCCCCGCCTAGTAAACGTTTTAAATGAAGCCTATTTAATAAGGCCTCTTAGAGATCTAAAGAAGGGAAAGATAGGATAGAATTTATAACGCTTACTAGGTGGGAACTTAGGATATATTTAAAGAGAAGGTGGAAGCATTGTCTAGGGACGTCAGCTAGGGAGTTAAGTCGCAGGATTGGGATGCCGGTACGAACCTAGAGGCAACATCTTAGAGGTGTAAGGAAGGGAATGATCCAGCTGGCTAGCATTTAAAACGCTTACTAGGCGGGTGCTTAGGATATATCTAAAGAGAACGTGAAGCAGCATCGTCTAGGAAGGTCAGCTAAGGAGTTCATTCGCAGGATCAATGCCTTCGGGGGATTAATCTTTTAGATCGCTATCTAGTGGCTTTTATTAAACATATAATGTTACTTAAAAGATAACAGGCAGACCTCACTATAATATAACGTATAACCTCTAAACAGAGGTAGGTCGGTACAGTCAGAGGTATCGGAAGAATGAGCCGGAAACCGTAACTGGCTCAAAAGTCGGAACTCGGAAATCAAAATTTTTTTCGGAATTCGGAGGAAAAAACATCGGAACTCGGAATACCGGCCCACCTCTACCTCTAAATGAATCCAAGGGTATTCTATTTTTAAAATACATACCAGGGCTGGGCGAAATCTAAAAATAAAAAGCGAAATGCGAAATGCGAAACTTTTCGCGCCAAAAAATGCGAGAATGCGAAACGCGAAAGTGCGAAATAAGCCCAGCCCTGATACATACCTTCCAATGGGGTATTCAAATAAGAAGGGCATTCAATTAGACGTAATACGGTACTTCCTTTTTGTATAAATCCTTTATTTTAAAGGCAAGTTTGATTGTGTTGTTAATGATTAAAAAATTAATTTATTTGATGAGTAATTTTTGTGCGCAAAATTAGAAAATAAAAACATTTTTACATTATTCAGCAAATACATAAATTTCTCTTAAATTTTCTCAAATAAAGTTGGTTTAACCTGTCCAAGTAAATTAACATCAACCTGTTTAGTAATACGTTTACATCAGGTTCCTAAACTAACAAACTTACAATTCTAGTTTGCCTTTGATTTGGAAAATTGAAAGAGAACTAGTAGTTATATTATACAAAAAGGTGATAAAAAATTTCAAAACTAGAATTATTCAATATTATTCGGCCAACAATTTACCAATAATTTTCATGATATTTCATATATTTGTTAAATTTAGACTGTTTCGTTTCGTTTCGGCCGAAAAAAATCGGAGTTTCGCCCAGGTATGATCCGTACCGAATATTATAGCTACTCTTGTTTTATCTCCTTCCATTTTATATTTCTATTTATTTCTCGAAAAATTTATACATATATTATTTTTTCAAAAATATTTTCCTCGAAAAAATATGTACACATGGGTCAAATTGAATCTATGTCGCGAGTTACCATGTTTTAAAATTAAAGGACTTTATATACAGAGCTACCATACATCAGCACAATAGTGTGGGCATTGGTCCTTAAAACCAGGGCTGGGTACCTATCGCCATAATTCCTCAACAGCATGTGAATCAGATTCATGTGTAATTTTTATGGAGAGCAGAGCTGGGTCAAAATTTCGATTTCAGACTTTTGAGCCAGTTACTCGACACCTCTGACTGTTCCGACCCACCTCTGATGGAGAGGAAAAGGAAAGGAGAAGAAAAATAAAATAAGGGGAGATAACACAAGAGTACCTTATTATATTTTAAAGAGTAATGTTCAAAATTCAAATTTTAACTTGTTTAATAATCGAAACCCATTCATGGAGTTGGTTTTCTGGGTATTCTGACCCACAATATCCATCCCCTAGAGGAACAAATTTCTGGAAATGTCGAGTCTCGAAACCAACATATGTTTGTGACCCTGATGGAATGTTAACTGATGATCAGAGGGAAGAAATTGTCCACATGGTTGAGGATTTTAAGGAAAAAACTAAAAGAGTATTGAATATTTACATCGTTAATCATTAATTTTTATAGCCAAATTCAAAATATCAATGTATGAGAGAAGGACTTAGACTTGTTGTGGCATTAGCAAAAGATAAAATTGGCTATGCTTACTCTGGAAATACTGTATGTTTTTAATAGAGCTGTCCATGACTCTGGGGTTTGAGTCATGACTCAAGAGTTTTCTTGTTTTTTTCGGTTTGGTTTTAGTCTTGGAGTGTAGTCCTGTAAAAAACACGAGATTTCACGAGATATGTACGAGACGAGCTCCACCTTTGGTAATCCTCTAAATAAAGCTTATTTTATTTATAGTATTTGTGCAATTATGCTATAAATCATTGGAAGTTATCTAATACAACAAAATGCGAGTCGGATATACAGGGGATTGAAGTAAATAAAGATGAAATTAATCATTGCTATATCCTACGTTGGTTAGTAAACATTCATGAAGATGACTATTATAAGCTCGCAAATGCAGGGGTAAAAATACAAGAAATTTCTTATCTCCCCATATATCTCCCTGCACATTGCATAATATTTAGAATGCTCTACTTAACAAAAATAATACATTTGATGCTCTAAAGAATTATATCACTTACTTGCGCAACCGTTACATTCAACGCTTCTCAACTTTCGATAACGATGATGTTTTTAATGAGAAGTCTCCTCAACAATATTCTTATAAATTGTGAGTTGAAGTTCTTTGAAGAGGGATACACTGCATTTTACATCGAGCCCAATGTACCGCCGCTCAATTACCGTCCGCCCATAGTTCCGTCAGCGGTGGATCAATAGGGGAAAGAAATAAAAAAAATTTTCGGAGGATTCGCGGTACACTAGGTGGTACAAAGAGAGATTCGCGGTAAGAGAGATAAAATGTTTTTAAACAAGCTCTCGAAAAATATCCATTAAGATTGCTCAGCCTAATATAATAATTCGTATCGTGTCTTAACTAGAGCGCGGAATTTCGTTCCGTACCGTATTCCGTACCGTACTACCGATACGGAATACCGATAAATACCGATAAAATACGGCCGTAGTACGGAATACGGCCCGTATTACGGCAAGAATTTTACCGTACCGTATTCCGTACCTACTACCGATACGGAATACCGATAAATACCGAAAAATACGGCCGTAGTACGGTACGGTCCGCGCTCTAGTCTTAACATCCCTCGTGCTTTAAGGTGGAAATAGAACAGAAAGTTTTTGGTTCTTCTTTCCGGTTTCGAAAGCTCAGTAAGGACACATGCCGTCCTCGCAAGTATGTAATTAACTCACTCAATGACCCCGCTCAAGCTCCAAAATTATTTTAAGATACTTATTTATTTTAAATTTTAGACTAGCAATAATATCCCTCATCATCTCTTTAATTCTTGGCTTGGTGCTTTTAATTTTAATTTGTCAAAGACGCCAAATACAAAATTATCTCGATCAGAGGAATGCTTCAAACACTGAAACCCAATTAATGACACCAATGCAACCCGTTGAGGTTGTTAAGAAAAAGAGGGAAAATGAGGAAGCTAGAAATTTAGTAAACCTTTAAATTTCTTGTTTTTTAAATTATTCTTATTTATAATTAGGGACAGCCAAAACATGCAAATGCATGTTTTGTATGCGGATATGCCTTGAAGTGGGAAGCCCAAAAATGGTGTTTTTACATATGTACGAGCACTTTAAGACCCGGTTCTTAATGCATATATTTGCATATTTCGACCATTTCGCGCATATTTGCATATTTGTGCATATTTTGGGAAATTTTGCATATTTTGGTCCATATTTTGACATTTTTTGTAAAATTTTGCCAAAAATTGACCAAAATTTTGAAATTTATTAGACAAAAAAATTTTTTGCAAAAATTTTTTGAAAAAATATTTTTCGAAAAATTTTTTAGGAAAAATTAAAAAAAAATTTTTTTTGCAGAAATTTTAAATCCACTAAATCTTTTAGAGTTGCTCTCAAAATGTAAAATTAAAGGTTAAATTAATGTTTTTAACATAAAATATAGACTTTTAAAGCATATTTTAACTATTTTTTGGTGCATATTTCAGTGCATATATTGGCAAATTTTGCATATTTTGGTGCATATTTTGGGCTTTTTCGGTGCATATATATGCGCATATTTGGCGATTTTCCGTGCATATTTTGGCTGTCCCTATTTATAATTAATGAGTATATTTTGTTTATAATTAAAGTTAAAAAATAAAAATATTTTTTAATTATTTTGTAAAATAAACCAATCTCGAGAGATGATTCATGTAACCTGTCTAATCAAATTAACTTCATCCTATTTCGAAACAATTTTATTTTCCATTCTCAAAGTAACTTAATTATAATCAAGTTCCTTTCTCAAGTAAGGAAGGAAGGAAAGAAAAGAGAAGGGAGCAGGCCAACCTACCGCAAGGCCAACCTACCGCCGAGCTATAACTTCGTTCAGAATTGTCGAATCCGGGACGCCCTGGTATGGTTCGATTCAGCTCGTCGAGGCGCATCGAACCATACCAGGGCCTCCCGGATTCGACAATTCTGAACGAAGTTATAGCTCGGCGGTAGGTTGGCCTCGCGGTAGGTTGGGGTGTACCCAAAGAGAACTAGATTGAAAAATTGGACAAAAAGGTGTTTAAAATTAAAAAACGAAATCATTTTTAATTACCTTTTTTATCGATAGAAATGATCAAATTTCTAATTCTAATCTGTCTAATAATCAAAACCCAGTCATGGACTTGGGATGATTATCCATCTCCTAGAGGAGCAAATTATTCAAAATGTCGAGTTTCTAAACCAGCATGGGTTTGTGATCCCGATGGAATGTTAACTGATCAACAGAGGAAGGAAATTGTCCACATGGTTGAGGATTTTAAGGAAAAAACTAAAAGAGTAAGGAGAAAATTTAAATTTTATTTTCCCGCCAATTCCAATTTTATAGCCAAATTCAATACATCCATGTATGAGAGAAGGTCTCAGACTTGTTGTGGCCTTAGCTAAAGTTAAAATTAGTCCTTCAAATGATTCCACCGTTGACTTTACAGTATGTTTTTAATGAATAGTGTTCCAGAAGGGATTATGGGTTCTAGAGGGGCTCTAAATGTTTTTTAGGCTTTTTTACTAGGCTTTAGAGCCATTCTCAGAAAAAAGTTACCAAGTCTCGTTGTGGATTTTTAAATTAAGTTGCGGACAAGCTACTTAGTTTCCTCCATTGGATTTACAGTATTTTTTAATGAATAGGGAGATTTTAATGAATAGGGAGAACTGGGTATTGTGCATTTGTCGACTTCGGCCGACGATTTTTGGAGCCGCTCCATGTTGGTTCCAGTTGGAAAATGAATGATAATATTTCAACCGTAGATTTGGGTTATTGAGAGTGAGATCAAGTAATATAAGGGGATAAAGAAGGATATTGAACGATTTTAATGATGTTGGATTTTAAAATTGAATTGCGGACAAGGGACTTTTGATTCTTTATGTAAAATCCCTCCATAGTGTAAGAGTTGTATCTCTTGGGTGGCCACAGGGTGGCCTTTCAAAGTCTCGCTATGTATAGATATCGCTTTAATGTGTATCTAGTTTGTGTATCTAGCCGAATGTGTACCTAGTTTGTGTTATATTTTAGGAGTTGTGCGCAAATAATAGTAGAAGATGGACATCGACTGATCCAACAAAATGCGAGTCAAATGTGCAAGGAATTGAAGTAAATTTAGATGGCTTCAGCTATTGCCGTTGGATACACTTATTTATGGCACTTCATAAGGACGAATATGAACAGCTTCAACGAACAGGGGTAAATAGTAAAGAAAATTTGAGTAAGGGGTTCGGAACTATCTAAACAAAACTGAGTAAATACAGTAAAACGTCACACATGGCAACATGAGGACAGGTTAGCCCCGACCAGGACTTTTGAGAAATTTTAACACCCCCCCCCCCGAGAAATTTTCGAACATCCGACCCGAAACCCCGACCTTTTCAATGGAAATGTGTTCAATAAAAGGTTTCTTAACTGGTCTTAACCCAGTTAAGAAAAAACCCGATTCGAAGAAAATTTTGAAACCAGACCCAACTTTCTTCTCAAGTCCCATCCTTGTTGGTCAGTATATAACGGACGCTGAGAGATGCCACCGTAGCTTTTCATGATTTTGAGAGGTTCCGCAGTAGAACTTTGCACATTTCTGTACACGTTATCCATGTCTTATCCTTACAAACTGACTTGAAAACATGGCTAACTCAAACCCCGTATTTTATAAAAACCCCAGGCTACCGGGCTATCGATCCTGGGAAATCCTGGCCAAGCCAGGATGCTAAAGTAATTTGAGAAAATTTTCATGAATTTGGGTTTTCCCTAAGTCTCCATTTTTGTCGTGCCCCAAAATGGCCCAGCGTCTCAACACCCCAATTCTTTGAGAAAGTTAGATTTTTAATTCAATTACAGATCAGGAATAGCGTCAATCATATTTTGTGTAATTATTAGCTTGGTGCTTGTAGTTCTATTTTATCGTACTCATCAACTTGAAAATTATTTTGATAAGAGCAAAGCTTCAAAAACTGATATTCAATTAATAATGCCAATGCACAGTTGAAGTTATTGAAAATAAAAAAGATAAGATGGAGGAAATGATGAAATTTTAAATATTTTATTGAACAATTAAATTTCTTTGCATGCATACAGTCAGACCGCATTATGAGATACCTCATTGGGTCTGAAAAAATTTTATCTTATAGCAACGGTATTTTAGAGGGTAATCTGAAATTATCCTCTTAGGCTGTTATCCCATCCATTGAGTAAATTCTCAAGGGGTGATTCATTTAACACGTCTAATTAAATAAATGATACAATGATACAACTCTTAAAATAGCTGTATATATTATTGAATGTATTTTATAAGGAGGCTATCTTAAATTATGGGGTAATGCCAGTTAAGGCAGGCTGTTTTTAGCAAATCTCCGGATATCCGAAACCAGAACCTCTATCCAAAGATTAACGGATATCTGGCCTTTTTCAGTACCGGATACCTGGAACTACCAACCTTACTCTCAACACTACCCCAACATTATCACCTGACCAACTTTCCTGATTTTTTTAAAAATCGTTCAGTTTTATTAATCTATATTTGATTAGTAATCATTTTGTTCATCTTTAAAAATAAATAAATAAAATATTTTTTTAATTTTTATTTGCAAAATAAATTCTCAAGAAGTGATTCATTTAATTCGACTAATTAAATTAAATCAACCTGTCTACTAGTGAGTTTGATACCCCGCGCAGTTCTTATAAGTAACAATTTCTGTTTAGCCAATTTGATAAGAAATAGGAAAATCAAAGATCACAACTATCATTTTGCTGGGTGTTTAAATTATTTGATTTTAATTTTTGGGCAAAAAAATAATAAAAAACTTGCTCCAAAATTAATTTTTACTAAACTTTTTATTGAAAGAAATGCTCAAACTCCTAATTCTATTCTGTCTAATAATCAAGACCCATTCATGGACTTGGAAGGATTATCCATCCCCTAGAGGACCAGATTTTTCGAAATGCGGGGTTACTAAATCAACCTATGTTTGTGATCCTGATGGAATGTTAACTGACCAACAGAGGAAAGAAATTGTTGAATTGGTTGAGGATCTTAAGAAAACCACTAAAAGAGTATTGAATATTTTATTTGAAATTAAAATATTTTTGTTATGACCCCGCTTACGTAGAGGAGCTAACAGAATACGTTTATCGCACAAAGAAATACAGAGCAGGTGAAGGTTGTAGGAAGAACTAAAACTGGGAGAGGGAACTAACTATTGGCTATCCTTTTATACTAACACTTCAAGGGCTGACGCCCATACACAACAATTTTATAGGAAAAATCAACAGATCCTTGTGGGCTTATAATTGTTCTGGCTTTGGCAATAGTTAAAATCATTCCTGGTAGTGATTTCTCTGATTATACAGTACGTTTTAATGAATAGGGTATAGTTTAAAAAACGATAAAATTTTATTATATAGCATTTGTGCAAAAGTGATAGGTGGACTTTATCTGATACAGCAGAATGCGAGTCAGATGTAGTGGGTATGGAATTAAATAAAGATGGTTTTCGTTATTGCTATTGGCAAAGTTCGTCGATGTTCCTTTATAAAAATGATAAAAATGAAAATCTTGACGTACCTTTGGTAAAAATTAAAAAATTTGAGCATTAAATTTAAACTAGTCGAAATCATTAAAATAATACTATAACATTACCTTTATATTTACATAAATATAATATACCTATGTATATCAGGCCTCGATATCTAGAACGCTAAAGGGCGGTCACCTTACATTTCAGAACAAATTCAATTTGGCCATCCATTTGGGGACAGAAACCTAAAATTTCGACTTTTGTTTTTGTTTCGAAGATGGGTTGGGTTCCGTTAGTTTCCGTTAGGAAACTTTGGTTTAGGAAAAACGGTCCCTTTGGTTTGGGACCTTACCCCATTCCTCAAAATTTTTGTCGTTATAATTGTTTTTCTGAAATTTACACACATAAATAGGAACGTCAACTCAACAAAACCATTTATTTTGATGCGCTAAGGAATTTTGTTACTAACATAAAAAGCGCATATATGCGACGGTTATCTACCTTTGATAAGCGTGATGTTTCTAATGAAACTAACATAAAACTATCAGAAGTCCAACAATCCTTGCAAGATACTAAAACAACATTAACTAAAATGCGTGATCAACAAAACAAAACATTATCTGGATTCACTGCAAATATGGAGGAGAATAAATTAAAACTATCAGAAATGCGGCAATCACTTGATCAACAAAACAAAACATTAGTGGAGACCAACAAAAAATTATCAGAAATGAAACAATTACAATGGCATATGTTTATTGGAAAGAATATAACTAACAATAAGCCTTTAGAATTTAGTCCAACTTCTCAGCATTATTCTAATAATTTGTGAGTTTTATTTATGTCCTAATGCAATATTTAATAGAATAAAGTAGAGTACGTCCGAATAGTTTTGTCCTGCCCCAATTTTAACAGACTCTCGGGTTTTTTCGTCTTGACTCGAGCTCGAACCTGTGATCATAATACTTGGGAAGAGATCCTAATACTTACTAGGCAGACACAATGTAAACCGAGTCGGGATTTTCTTCCCAATTACTCTGTACTTGATTTATCATGACTGAGAAGACCGTGATCGTGACCTGATCTAACCGTGAAATTTACGGCCTTGCTAACGCTTTGCCCTTATATTTTGTATAATAATGTAAACTCCGTTGTTTAACTCAACTTTTAGGCAAAGAATTAAAGTGGACAGTAACAAAGGGTTTGATAGTATTAAAAAGCTGGCCGATTCACAGATTTGGATATTACAAAATAAATCGAGAAATCCTCGGTTCTTCTTCCGTTTCCGAAACAATTCCAATCCAGACTTTAATAATTTTATTTTAATTTTAGGTTAGGAATAATAGCAATCATCTTTTGTTTAATTATTTGTTTGGTTCTTTTATTTTTGATTTGTCAGTTCCGCCAATTTAAAAATTATCTGAATCAAAGGAATGCTTCAAACCAATTAATGACACCAATACAACCTGTTGAAATTGTTGAGAAAAAGAGGGAAAATGAGGAAAATGAAGAAGCGACAAAGCCTTTATTAAACCTTTAAATTACCTATTCTAAATAAATATAGTCAGACCTCACTTTATCTTTGGATTCCCTTAAGTTTGAAAGATTTTATCTTATAATGAGGCGTTTCTTAAAGCGTATCTTTAAGTTTATATCTTTAAGTTTATAGTGGGGGATCTTAAAACTTTGGGGGCTTATAACTCGTTCCATGATACCATTCAACGAAATGGTGAAAATTTCACAACTGACGTAGGGTATGATCTATCTGTCTACCAAATTTTATCTCTAATGTAAGATCTACGGACACCCCACAGCCTCTCCCTAGTTCGGCAGCTCTCTTGGCCGATTAAATGATACTCCTCCTTAATTGATATTTATTTTGTAGTGGGGTTTGACTGTGCTATGTTTTAATTTAAAAATTAAATTTTTCCCAAATTATTTTGTGATATGTATTAACATAGTAAAATGATTCATTTAAACCGTCTAAAAAAATTAACATCAAAATCTGTCCACTAACACTTTCGTGAGGAAAGGAACCCCTTTTGCGCAAGGAACAACCCCTTATCAATCTAGTTTGCAAACAACCTCTTAACAAACCCCTTTATCAACCTATGTAGACTCTTTTCATGAAAAAATTTTTGTTTAATTCCCCACACTACATATTAGTCTTTGGACAAAAAGAAGAAAAAGACAATACTATGACTAATTTTTATTTTATTTTTTATTAAGAAATGTTCAACTTTCTAATAATATTAATATTTTGTTTAATAATTAATACACATTCATGGTATTGGACTAAAGATGTAAAATATCCATCCCCTAGAGGATATACCTATTCGGAATGTGCTGTTTCAAAACCAACCTATGTTTGTGATCCCGATAAAATGTTAACTGATCAACAGAGAGAGGAAATTGTTCGATTAGTTGAAGATTTTAAGGAGAAAACTAAAAGGGTATTGAAAGCGTTTTTCGATTAGAAACAAAATTTTTTTAGCCAAGTTCAATGTTTCCGTGTGCGAGGGAAGGACTTAGACTTATCGTGGCATTAGCAACATCTGGAATTGCTATAGGTGATGATCTCTCTACAGTATGTTTTTAATGTTGACGTAAATCGTTTTTGATAGTGGCTAGGAAAACGAGGCCAGGGAAAAATGGAAATCACTATAAATCCAATCTTAATTATACAGACTAACAAAAAATGTAACCGGCCACTTTATCTTTGGCATAACTTTATTCAACTTATAGTTAATGGGATCAAATTTAGCTTATATGATAGAGAATCAAATATGGAACAAATATAATATTATGTTTGTTACTGTTCAAAACAATTTTCTGTCTGCAAAAAATTTCTTGACTTGCGAACTTTCGACTAAAATTTTTTTACAGCCTTCAACTCCATATCCAAGCAAAAAGTGGACACTACGATAATTTTTTATTAGATTTGTTCCTTGTTTAATTCTCTATCATGCCTATAAGTTAGATTTGATCCCATTACCTATAAGTTGAATAAAGTTATGCAAAGTATAAAGTGGCCTCTTACTTTTTTGTCACCTTGCATTTATAAGTGGGGTATAATGATTGATATAATGATTCAATTTTATATGTAGAATGTGTGCAAAAATGGTGGATGGACGCCATCTGATACAACAAAATGCGAGTCAGACGTACTGGGTATTGAACTAAATAAAGATGGGTTTCATCATTGCACTTCGATACGGTGGTTAATAAACCTTAATGAAGAAGAATATGAAAAGCTCGGCAAAGCAGAGGTGAAAATTAAGGGTATTTTGGGAATATCTACCAAATGTCCACAAATTTTGTCTGCAACTTTTCTCTTTTCATTCTCTTTTTTTCTCTCATACAGAGTAAAAATGGCCAATTTAATTAAGCATTGGACCATTTTTAAACTTTATGAGTATAATAAAAGGAATGAAAAGGAGATGAGAAAACGTGGGGACAAACATGTGAGGGCATGCGTGGAGATACTCCCAAAGTACCAAATTAAGAAAAGCTGACTAAATACTATATAGTTTGATAAAATCATCAATAGAAACTATTTTGATGCACTAAAAAGTCATATTAACAACTTGCGTATCCTTTACAACCAACGTTTCGCAAGTTTTGATAACATAACACATGTGCATCATTCATTAACGGAACTACGGCATTCCTTGCAAGATAATCAAAAAATAGTAGCAGAAATGAGACAATTATTATCACAAGGCCAAATGTTTGCTGGGAAGAATATGACTATACCCTCAGGATTTATTACTATATTGTCTAATAATTTGTGGGTTTTATTCTCACTTCAAAACCAATCTTTGGAATAGGGCATAAAAATGGAAATAACTCCGTTGTTAGAAGGGTGATCGGTCCCTTTGAAATTTTGAGAGATCATAAAATAAAATGAAAAATCCTCAGTTCTTCTTTACCGATTACGAAACAAAGACAATATTTAGTCGCAGGGCTATAATACTCCATTTTAGACATTAATTTTAGATTAGGAATAATATCAATCATCATTTCCTTAATTATTGGCTTGGTGCTTTTATATTTGATTTATCGAATTAGCCAATTTGAAAATTATCTCAGTCAGAGGAATGCTTCAAAAACTGAGACACAGTTAATGACACCAATGCAACCTGTTGAAATTGTTGAAAATGGGAGGGATAGAGAGGAAGCTAGAAATTTATTAAACCTTTGAATTATTTCAAAAGCAGTTGGACTGACTAGAAGATACCTCATTGGGATTTAAAAATATATCTTAAAGATTCTTAAGAAAAATTGTATCTTAAAGATTGTATCTAAAATTGCATCCCTCTAGCTACCACATCAATCGACCCCCATCTAGGCCTAGTACCTACCAAAAATCCTGCCGACAAAAAAATCGTCTGGTTGATTAAGGGGCCATCTAACCTATATCCGTATCCTATATCACTTTAGATTCCCTTAGATCCCCTTAATCCACAGATATCCTACTTATCGTTTGATATCCATGATATCCGTCCACCGATATCCCATTTAATTGGGGTAAGACAAATGGATTAAGTGGGATCTCAGTTGATTTGCGGATGGGTCTAGTACCGATCTATCCCATCTATTGGCAATGCCCTGCATAAGGGGTTAGGGCATTGTTTAGACAGCTCCGTCATATACTATACTCTCAAAAGGCCTTTCTAGCTAGCTACCTCCATATAGAGCACTACATAACGGGTTAGCTACTAATGAGTATCTTGTAGTGAGTCTAGGCTATATCTTGTAGTGAGTCGTGAAGTGAGACTATGCTGTTAAATCTCTTATTTTTTAACTATCTTTGATCCAAAATTGTTTTATATGTTAAGAGTAAATCACTCTATTTATCGATAAAATAAAAAAAAGTTTGCAAAATTCCAAATCAATTTTGAAGGGTGATTCATTTCAACCTGCCTAATCTAATTAACATCAAAATTCACCCCTTTTTATAACGTTTTTGTCAGTCCTCGCGTTTACAGCCTCTCTATAATTAAAGATTACACACTTATGTTTGTCAAATTATGTGTTTAAATCAATTCAGTTTTTGATCAAAAATGTAAAAAAGTTATGATCAAAAATTATATTTTATATCCTTGTCTTCATATATTTTATTTATGGATTTCCATACTTTTTTCCTAGTTCAAAAAATTTACTTTAAGCATATGATTATAAGGTCTTTGAGTTATCAAAGCCATAATTTTAGGCCATATTTGCCGTATTTTTAGCCATTGTAAAGCATATAGCTATTAATTTCCTAAGGCTGTGCAGTAAGCGGCGTGGTGTAATGGATAACACATCAGTCAAGTCTACTGAAGAGCTGGTTTGCTCCCAGCCACAGATTAACCCTTTGCACTAGCTAAAGGAGATAAATAGCTATAGCTCAGCTGCTTTATTATATCAATGCCATTAATTTTGGCTATTTTCCATTCTTTGTCTTAATTTGAATCATTTTTAATCATTTTTTGCTGAAGAATGCTCAAATTTCTAATTATAACCTGTTTAATAATTAAAACCCATTCATGGACTTGGAAAAATTATCCATCCCCTAGAGGACAGAATTATTCGAAATGTGGTGTTTCAAAACCAGCTTGGGTTTGTGATCCTGATGGAATGTTAACTGATCAACAGAGAGCAGAAATTGTTGAATTGGTTGAGGATTTCAAGGAAAAAACTAAAAGAGTAAGGAGAATATTTAAATTTTATTTTCCCGTCAATTTCAATTTTATAGCCAAATTCAAAGTTTCCATGTTTGAGAGAAGGACTTAGACTTGTTGTGGCCTTAGCAAAAAATAGAGTTGTTGAGCCCTATCCATCTTACCCTAACACAGTATGCTTTTAGTGAATAAAATACGGTAGTTGCAACTTATAAATTGAACTTTTTGTAGTTACACTTAACATTTTCTCGATGGCAATTCTGCTTAATTTTATTATATAGGATTTGTGCACTAATGATAGAAGATGGACAGCATCCGATAGAACAAAATGCGAGTCAGTAGTGCATGGAATTGAATTAAATACAAATGGTTTTCAACATTGCGCTCAGATATATTTCTTTTGGCCTCTTCATTCTATAGATTATGAAAACCTCAACAGAGAAGAGGTAAAGGCTATTAAAGTTTGACAAAGTTGATCATCAAATGATTATTGTATGCCGGTGAAGTTCCCAGCCTAGATCAGGATGAGGGTAAAGCTTAGCGGTCAAAGTAGCAAGAAAGAAGAAGAAAGAGGAAATGGGAGGGGGGGAGGGGGGGGGGGATAAATGAAAGTACCCAAAAGTGTTATGAATCATAAATAAAATAAATCTTATCTAAACTAACACATATAGAGACCTCTACTCACCAATAAAAATTATTTTGGTGCCCTAAAGAATTACATTGAAAAATTGCACTTGCTTTACATTGACCGCTTCTCAATTCTTGATAACCACGATGCCATTAAAAAGGATTACATTAAATTATTAAAAGAATTTTGTGGTATATTTGCTAATAAGTGAGTTTTATGTTTGATTTGAAATCTAACAGAGTATAGTTATGTCTAAAAAACCCACTAACCAAATATTCCCCCATCCACTATCCAATTAGATCATGTTACTCAAATCAATCACGTCTATGGTTGTATTCAGAACGTTCGGGGGTAAGTATGTCGGGGTACGGGGTTTTCACTTTTTTTGGGGTGGTGTTCAGGTCGGGAATTCGGGTCTCTAATACTTATTGCGCATTATTGTGTGCAGTAGGCATTATGGTGGAAATTACCAGAGAAAGGTCTGTTCCTTACTAGGGGATATGAGAATCCGTTGGGTGAGAAAATTCTTAGGATTATTTCTTCCTCGGTTCTTTTATCCGGTCTTAGTAGACGTCTGCCAATGCTTTCCTCACCCCACGTAAATAATCTTATTTTAGACTAGGAATAATCTCAATCATCATTTCTTTACTTATTGGTTTGGTTCTTTTATTCTTAATTTGTCAATTCCGGCAATTTAAAAATTATCTAAATCAAAGGAATACTTCAAAAACAGAAACCCAATTAATGACACCTATAAAACCTGTCGAAGTTGTTGAAAAAAGGAGGGAAGAGGAGGAAACGACAAATCCTTTATTAGACATTAAATTTGATTAAACACGGTCGGATCTCACCTATAAGATACCCCTTGGGTTCGGAAATAATTTTGTCTTAGAACTGGGTTATCTTAAAGAAGGGGTATCATTGAGACAGGAGGGACAGGGAAAAACCCTAGTTGCCATCCAAGTAATACACCTCTTAAGTATGGAGTCAGGATGATGGTTAATGCCCCCCTGTCTGTTCGATTGTGGTTATCTTATAGGGAGGTTTGACTGTACTGAATTTGTCTTATATTTTTTAATATTTTGTAAAATAAGTCTAACTCATGGAGGCATTTGACTAAATTAACTTTCATTCGTCCAATAAGGTTGTTACATGTTCCCGTTTACCCGCAGGTAGACGGGAATGCTTTCCTCGTATTTACCCATTCCTTCTTTCCCTCAGTCTCTCTCTCCTTCTGTTTTTTAGATCCTCGACTTTAAGGTTGTCGGTTCTGGACCGAACCGAAGAACCGAGGATTTTTTGGTTCTTCGGTTCCGGATATCCGAAGATTTTCCAGAAACCGACAACCCTACTCGACTTAGACCACGGTTTTTCTTTGGTTTAGTTCATCCCTTTTATTTCCATTCATTTAGTTCATACTTTATGCCATCCGGCCCTACAAATACTATCTTAAACTCTGATCTTCCGATTTAAAAAATAAAATTAAAGCTCAAATAAATACAAAATCAATGTAGCTTTTTTGCACAAAAGGGTGGTAGAAAGCTGAGTAAGACTAAAAACTAAAAGCCCCTCCCCAAGGAAGAAAAGTGGGAAAAAATAGAAGAAAATGTAGCTGCTGTCCTTCGTTAGATAAGCATTTTAGATAGAGCTAGACCAAACTATAATTATTTAAATAAAATTCCCTAGTTTTCATTGCTTTAGAATGAATCATTTTTATTTTTCGGATCATTTTTATTAATTTTTTTGTAGTCCTTTTTGCACAAAAGTGTGTAAAACTCAGATTTGTGAATCATTTCGGGTCAGTTCGGCTCAAGTGTTCAGGACCTAATAACTCATTAAGGGATGGTCATTTTTTCACTTTCTTAGTACTATTGGTTTGAGAACCTTCCCTTCATAAATTTGAGGTTTCGGGACTCAGTTAAGTTGGGACTCGAATTGTACCCAGATTTGTGAATCATTTTTGAGCAGTTCATTCATCCTAGACTTGGTCGTCGGGACCCTATAACTTATCAAAGGGTGGTCACTTATTTATATTCTTAGTACCATTTGATAGAAAATTAAAAACTCTACTTACTTTCAAAAAATCAAAATTCTATTCCGATTGTTAAAAATGTTATGCTTCAAAAACTAGCTTTTTCTAAAAATGTGACTTCTTGGCACTTTATCAGTCATAACTTTTTTATCAACTGATTGAAAATTCTTATTTTTTGAAATTTTGTAGAGTATTCAATCCTCTATCCAATGATACAAAGTACAGTAAAAATTAATCACCCCTTCATAAGTTATAGGGTCCTGATTGAACTGAGTCGTTACTGAACTCAGGTGTACCGTAATCATTTTATACACAATTTGAATAATTTTTATTAATTTTTTCTGAAGAATGCTCAACTTTCTTATAATTATCATCTATCTAATAATCAAAACCCATTCATGGACTTGGGAAGATTATCCATCCCCTAGAGAAGCTACTTATTTCAAGTGTGGTATCCAGAACCGAACTTTTGTTTGTGATCCTGATGGGATGCTGACTGATCAACAGAGGAAGGAAATTGTAACATTGGTTGAGGATTTCAAGGAGAAAACTAAAAGAGTAAGGAAAATATTTAAATTTTATTTTCCCGCCAATTTCAATTTTATAGCCACTTTCAACAATTCCTTGTATGAGAGAAGGTCTCAGACTTGTTGTGGCTTTAGCAAAAGACAAGATTGGCCCTGAAGATGGTTCAAATGGACTAACAGTATGTTTTTAATCGCTAAAATACAGAGCCAGAATCAAAGATTTTTTGGCCCTGTTTCCTTTAAAGGGTCAAGAAATGTCCTTCCGCACTGTCGCCCCCATTGTATATGCCTCTGATCTCAACTGCAGACTGCATTGAATTTCGGATACTGATTTTTTAAATCAACTTGCGCCCCGATCAAGGGTGAGCGCAAGAGGCATCTCAGTCATAAAACGCAAGACACAAGAGACCCCCTCATTATAGGGACCCCTTATCCCTGGCCCTTATAGGGACCCCCCCACTCCTGGCACAGATAGGAAAGGATAGTGTCTGAAAAATTCGATTCGGGTAGTTCGGGATGACCGGCGATTTCCCAGGATCCTTCAACCCTAAGTTCAACATTCTTTATAGAAAGAGACCCAGTCCAAATCTCAATTTTATTATACAGTATTTATGCAAAAACGAAAGAAACTGGACTTCATCTTATAAGACAACATGCGACGCAGATGTACAGGGTATTGAATTAAATACAGATGGGTTTCGTTATTGCTATTCAAACACACGCTGGTTAATGCCCCTTCATGTAGATGAATATGAATGGCTTGGCAAAGAGGTAAAAAATCAAAATTCAGTGGAAGCTCTTGGGCCTATCTTAGCCAAAAACCTATCTTAGCCTAGCCAAAGCTCTGCCCGACCTTAGCCAAAGCTATAAGTATCCTGGGAGGGGACGATATTATCAAAAAATTATAGCATAATGAGTATCCTTATTTTATGTACCCTTTTGTTCTTGCATTTTTTGTCGTTTGTACCATTTTGTCAATTGTACCATTTTGTCAATTTTACCGTTTCGTCGCTTGTTCTATTTTGTCGTCTGTGCCCTTTTGTCGTTTGTATTTTTAACAAGGAAAACGACGGGGGGGGATTAATGAATAATACACTAATTAATTAATAGGATCATCATTTAAAAAATAAAAAATATTATGATGCCCTGAAGGATTATATTGAAAACATGCAAATGCTTTACATTCACCGCTTCTCAATTTTCGATAATAAGGATCCTAATGAAGATATAGCTTCTCAACAGTCTTATAATAAAGTGTGAGTTATAAGATTTTTAAAAAAGAAGATACTCAAGCTGATTAAAGGGGCCGACATTCTCTGCCCCTTATGAGCAGGGTGGACCCTCCCAAATTGGTGGCCCTTCCATTCCCTTTCCTTTATCCCTTCCAATGGCCCTTCCAATTATTCGATTCCCTTCCAACTTCCCTTCCAAATTACCAAAAGGAGGCATAGCCCATCAAAAAGGAGGCAAAAGGGGTCAATGTAGAAAAGGGGAGAAAAGGGGGGCGAGACGGTCAAAAAGGGACAAATTCCTCCCAAATAGGTAAAAGGGCCATTCTGATTGTGAAACCCCCACCTCTTAAATGGCAGAAATGCCAAGAAAAATGGGATGAATTCCTTTTGAAAAGCTATAGCTTAATAGATTAGCTGGGAAAATAGGAGATTATTATAGACATGTCTGTAGCAGGTGTGTCAATATGAAAAGTCGGATCGGATTTCAGAATTTTCTTCGGGTCGCGTTTCGAATAGTAAAAATCCAGTTAAGTGTTCGGATTAGATTTTGAAAAATTTCTCTAATCAGAAATTTTTGGGGTCTTATGGGTAATTACTAGAGGTAGACTAGTGGTGGTTTGAGGTTGGCGGTTCGTGGGAAATCTTCGGTTATCCAGTCTTTTTTCGGTTCTGGATAACCGGGACAATACCATCTTTATGGGGTTGTCGATTCCAAATATTTTGGATACAGAAATACCTCTCTAATAATAAGACTTTTTCTTTCAATTTCAGTTATTTCATAATGTCAGTCATCCTTTTCTTTATTATTGTCGTGGGTTACTTGCTTCTACATTATCGAATTCGCCTACTTTTAAAATATTTTAATCAGAAGGAGACTTTAAAAACTCGACTTCACAAGAAGGAAACTGAACTTAAATTAATGACACCAATACAGACTGTTGAGGATGTTGTGAAACGGATGGAGAAGCATCAGGAAGAAGACGAGGAAAAATCAAAACCCTTATTAAACCTTTAAAAGCCTTCAAAGATACAGTCGAATCCCACTTATAGATACATCCTTTGGGGCTGAAAACTTTGTCTCTTATAACGGGAGTATACTAAATAGAGGTTCCGCTTAGCCAGTTTCCCCACCAAGATCCAACAAAACATTTGTCCCATTGTCCCTTTCGGACGGGATAATAGGCTAGAGAGAACATGTCCCGTTCGAACGGGGAAGTAGGCTGAAGAGAATATGCCCCTTTGTGACTTTCAGAATATGAGGTAGGCTGACGAGAACATGTCCCTTTCGGATTAGGAGGTAGGCTGGTGAGAACTTAACCCTTTCTGCCTTTCAAACTAGTTCGTAGGCTGAAGAGAGCATGTTCCTTTCAGCCTAGGGGGCTGGAAACTTTGTCTCTTATAACGGGAGTATCCTAAATGGAGGTCTCGCTTAGCTAGTTTCCCCACCCATTGACTAACAAAATGTTTGTGCCATTTTGTCGCATGTACCATTTTGACGGTGAACATTTTAGAATTTTGTCTTTTAAAAAGGGAGTATCCTAAAAGGGGTTTCGCTTAGGCAGCTTCCCCACCCAGTAGCCATCAACTGGGCGGCCTTTTGTCGCCTGTGCTTTTTGTCGGGGAACCTTTTTGTCGTTTGTACCCTTTTGTCTATGATCCCTTTTATCGGCTGTACCATTTTGTTATTTGTGTTTACATACATATAAGTTCATCTAATATTTGGGAGGATCTAAAAGTGAGGTTTGACTGTATCAGATTTGGTAATATTTTTGACACATAGCTCTAGAAAAAAATTTTTTTAACAAAAAAATTTATTCACAAAATAAAAATACGTGGCTTATGAAAAACACACAAATTATGCGCACATTAATTTATTTTCTTTTAATTATTGGAATACTTAATATAATTTATTTTAAATGCTATACAATTAAATAAATTTGTGGAATTGTAATAATAGGAAGAAATACAAATTTTTAAGTTTTGGCTTTACAAAGTATATATTATTTAAATTATTGCAAATTATGTTATTTATTAATTTTTAAATAAAACGAGTAGAACAATTCTCGGATTAATTCGAATAGATATAGCCATTTTGTCGGCTGTACCTTTTGACAACGACAAAGATGTGTTTTTGTCCGTTTGTCAGATGTACCGTTTTGTCGTATGCACTCGTTTGTCGTATGTACTTATTTATCGTATGTACCCATTTGTCGTTTGTTCACATTTGTCGTTTACTCCGTTTTGTCATGTGAGCCTTTGTGAGTCTATTCCATGTCCTTATATTCTATTTTTTTAATTTTTCAATGGAATTACACGTTAAAAATCCGTGATTGTTAATTGTTCTACTCCTTTTCCTATACAATTAATTGCCGAATTACAAATACAAATATTTAAAATTAGGAACAATAAATGGAACATTTGATTATAGTAATGTATTAAAATTGGCAAGACCCAGAATATTTATAAAGAGGACATGAAGGATATAAAAAATCCCCTCCCACTCCTTTTCCCCCTCATTTCCTCTTTAACTTTAAAAAAATTAAAAATTTCTACTCCATATATAATAATTAATTAAACTAAAATTTAAATTTAAAAAATTTTTTTCTTCTAAGCAAGTTGTTGCTTTTTGTTAATTTGTCTTTGTTGTTGACCTCCTGGAAATTTAACATAAAGTGTGTCGATTACAGGGGCCGGCTCGTTTGCAGTTTCTCGTTGCTGGAATTGTTTGCGAATTTGTGGCACTGACCAGTTGACCTTTAAAAATTGGGGAAATTTAAAAAAATTTATGAATTCTTATCAGTGGAGACCGGCATTCTTATCAGTGGAGACCGGCAAAATCGCACTTCCGAGATCTCGAGTCGGGATTTTTTTCTCAACCGACGCCGGGACGGGATCCCGAGGGATAAATCCCGGATCCCGGTTGATCCCGAAAATCAAAAAATCCGGGATTTCGGGATCCCGGAAAATCTCACTTATCAGTGTTGAGGGCCCGGTTCGGTTCGTAAGATCGAACCTAGCCTCGAATTTTGGACCGAATCAGACTCGACGACCCCGTTCGATACAAATGGGGCCTGAAAAAATGACTCGAACGTCGGTCCGGTTCGAAAACCCAAGCCCTACTACTGATTTTTGACATTTTGAAAATTTTTTGACATTTTGAAAATTTTAAAATTCTAAAAATCGCGAAAATTTCAAAATGTCGAATCCTCAAAAGGTCAAATTTTCGAAATGTCAAAAAAATTCAAAACGTCAATTAAATGTCAAAATGTTGTGGCATTTCTTTCAATTTGACATTTTTTCGAATTTGACATTTCGAGAAATTGACATTTCGAAAATTTGACATTATGACATTTTCGCGTTTTTCGGAATTTTAAATTATATTTCTCAAAATTATCTCTCACCTCCAATTTATCCAAAAGCAATTCTTCAGCCGTTCTCCTCGGTGGAATGTATTTTTGCTGGGGTTGTTGTCGCTGAACTAGAGGGCGACGATTCTCCTCACATTTCTTCCCACTAAAACTTTTTCCTTCCTCAACATTTGCAGAGGCTGAGGCACGTCTCAGATAGTTCACATGAGGTTCTGTTGCGCCCGAATACTGCTCCGATTTATTTTGGGACGAAATCTCATCCTTCTCGTTCGCATTTTTGTTGTTCATCATCATCAACAGAGTCCCTGTAGAGTGTTGCCTTTTAGTCTCCAAGTGTATAGGGAGGCGTTGTTTTAAGATGGGAGGGGTGGAAGAAGGGGAAGAGGAGGAGTTGAGGGAGGGATTGAGAGAAGGATTGAGGGAGGGATTGAGGGAAGAGTTGAGGGAAGGATTGAGGGAAGGGTTGAGGGAAGAGTTGAGGGAAGAGTTGTTCACAACCACCCCACTCCCATTCAACGGCAAAGCTCTCTGCAAATTCACTTTAACTATTTTTGGAGACGATTGGGTACTCGATTGAAGACTTGTTGAGGTTGTTGCCCCCCTTGTAGCAACTCTATGAGGGGAGGAAATTTGTGAAGAAGGGGAAGAATTTAAAGAAGACAAATTTAGTTGTCGATTTAAATTAAATTTTTCTTCTTTCTTGTCTTCGTGACTTCCTAAAGTGTCTTCTTGAAGTTGTTGTTGGAGCCCTAACAAGGCTTCTGATTTTGTGGCTAGTAGAGCACGTCGTGAAAGGGCGGCTGAAAATTTTGGGAATTAAAATAATCTTTTAAAAATTTAGGGTGTCGCTATCATATATCCCACCCTGGGGGATAGATATGTCATAAGAGGGATAACTAAGAGATTGAGATAAGTAAGGAGTTAGGATACTCTAGTGTGATACGTGGTGGATAAGGTAAAAGAAGGGTGTGATATCTGAAAGAGGAAAAAGGGTGAGATACACGAATAGGGAAAACTGAGGACTGGGATATCTGATAGATATAAAAGGTGGGATATCTGCGAGAATAAAAAAAGAATGGGATGACTGAGAGATCTGAACCAGAGCTGCGTCGAAATAAAAAAATCTTCGAAATTCGGAAATCGAAAATCGAAAGAAATCCAAAAATATCGAAATCGAAAATCGAAATTTTATAAAAAAATTCGAAAATCGGAAATCGAAAATCGGCAGAAAAAAACGTCGAAAATCGAAAATCGGTAATCGAAAATCGAAATTTTTTAAAATAACTAAAAGAGTAGTAAACAATCCGCAATATGGATATTGATATTGAGATATAAGGGGAATTATTGAGATATAAGGGGATTCAATGGATTAATTGAAGTTTTAAGAGATATCAGTGATCGTAGGGATATACAGGATTAGAGGGTTGACTAGAGACCAATTAAATCCGCACCCTAGATCACTTTAAATCCTTTATTCCTCCAATATTCTACTTACCCCTTGATACCCTTGATATACCATCCTCCTATATCCCTCTTATTATTATAAGGCAAATGGATTAATTGGAGGCTCGGGTGGAAAGTCAATGATAATATTATTTAGGTTGGCGCCGCAGGAATAAAATCTTAAGAGAAAAGATAATGCAATTTTGCAAAAAAAAATCGAAAATCGAACGAAAATCGAAAAAACTAAAATTATCGGAATCGAAAATCGAAATTTTATGAAAAAATTCGAAATTCGGAAATCGAAAATCGGTAGAAAAAAACGTCGAAATTCGAAAATCGAAAGTCGAAAATCGAAATTTCGACGCAGCTCTGATCTGAACAAAGAATGAAATATCTAAGAAGAGTATAATCGAAGATTGGGAGATATGTAAGGGAGGAAAGAGTAAAGATATCCCACCCTTCCTTTTTCCAAACTAAGATATCAAAGTTATCGTGAGAAATAAAATAACTTTCTCTTATAACTTCTTTTTAATTTACTCTTCTTTAAATCAATTCCAAGCCAATTCAAATAAATATTTATTTCAAAGAGGCAATACAATTCAACAAATAAATTATGGGAATAAATAAAGAGGGGGGAACACCACTAACAAAATTAAGAATGAACCGAATGAACAATTTTGGGGAGAGAGAATTTTCTTTTATAGGAACATAAAAAGGGATAAAATGTCATTTATTTATTTTATTTAAATTTAAAGTCATTTGAGTCTGTGCGTCACCACATCTCCACCTTCTAAGAAGACGAGTCCCTCGGCTTAGCATTCGGCTGCGAAAGGGGTGGTTCATCAACTGTCTCGAGAGCGGCTTCTATCATAACGTCTAATTCCCTCGAAAACTGAACGTCTTGGGTTTCGGTCGCCTAGACCTCGTCCCCTTCGATTTTCATTTCCATGCCAACGGCTTCTAGGAGTTTGATCGCCTAGATCTCTCTCCCTCCAATTTTCATTGCCACTCCAACGACTTCTATGGGTTTGGTCGCCTAGACCGCACCTCCGATTTTCATTTATCGATGAGTTCCTTACACTTCTTTCATTTCTCGGATCGACAATTTTTGATTTCACATTTCGAACGCCTAGTTCCTGAATTGGCGTTTGGGTTGCCTTCAATGTTTCAATTCCGTTCATTTTCGGACGTTTGGCTATTAAACGGCTCTCAACCGCATCACCTCTCCCCTCCTCGTATTTAGATAATTCCGTCCTCGGAATTCTTTCAAGAACCTTTTTTCCTTTAAATTCTCTTTTTGGGTTCCAACATTTTTCAACTCCTTTTATCAAATTAGGCGGTTTCAAATTTAAATTTTCATTTTTGTCTCTCATCTTCGAAAGCTTTTTCTTTTCATAAATTCTGGAAATCCTTAATTTTCTTCCTTCGAAAGACAATTCATTTAATTCAAACGCTCTCTTACTTGAAGTTGGATCAATAAATTCGATGTAACCAACTCCTTTGCAAAGTCCCGTTTGTTTATTTCGAAGTAAACGAACTCCAGTAATTTTTCCGCATTTAGAAAAGTGAGTCCTAACTGATTCGTCCGCAGTTTTATATGGAAGATTTCCTACAAAAATTGACCTTTTCGTATCAAATTTTCGTTTTTGTTCCTTATCCATTCGAAGAAAGTTGCCGTTCAATATTTTACTATTTTTCTTGGCAGACTTAGCCTTTTCATCTTTAGCCAATTCTTTTATAAAAGCATTACTTTTTTTCTCAAATTCAACTTTATTTTCATCTTCTTTCAGATTTTCTTCAAATTTCTTCTCTTTGTTTTCAAGGACGTTGAGTTCTTTTCCAACGGATCCTACATCATCAAATTCAATACTTAATGTTTGGATCCGTGTTCTATAAATGACTCTTTCTGCATCGTTGTTTTGGTCTAAACCTTCACTTCCAAAATCAATTAAATCATTATTAGGGATGTCCAATAGCTTAAATCCTAATTTGCCTAGTGAATTTGTGCCGAAAAGTAAGTCATAGCCAAAAGGAGCATCTGTTATGTGAAAACAGGTTTTAATTTCCTCTTGGTTTTCACGTTTTATTTCCAGCTCAACAATTCCATGACATTCAAGCTTTTGTCCATTAACATCAGAAATCTTAGTTTTTGCTCTCGAAAATCCGATGTTCTTTAGTTCAATTCCTTTATCCTTAAGCAGTCTCAAAAGAAAACTTGAACTTATTAACGAAATTTGTGCTCCTCCATCAAGCATTCCTTTTGCAGGTAGCCCTTTTACATTAACTTTGATTGACATCACTGGGCCTATGGAGTTCTTTATTATCTCCGCTTTTGCTTCATGTTCGGGGATTTTCTTAAGTTCTTCTTTAATTTCTAAAATGTTTATCCCACATGAGTTGACGTGATTTTCGGGAATTTCGTCATGTATGGTTATGCAACCGTTTTTAAGTTGATTGCTTGACGGTGGGAGTGCTCTGGTTTGACCATTTCCTCGCCAAACTGCTGTGTTTCTAGATAGCTCATTAATATTATTTTTGGTATTCAGAAATGTTCTATTAGCTTCCGTAGCATCTGCCACGTTGTCTTTCGACATATATTGATTATTTCGATTAGCGAAGCAATCACGTGAGAGATGTCCTAGCTTTCCACAGTTAAAGCAGGTAATTTCGTTTCTAGGGGCAAAGTTATTGTTTCGTTGTGAGAATTGCTGGACAGGTGGTTTAGACTGGAAGTTAATATGACGAGTTGCTTTCTGTGTCGATTCTGCTCTAGCTGCCAGAGAAACAAAACTGTCAAAACTCATTCCGTCTTGTCGAGCTATTTCGAGATTGAGTGCAAGGTTTGAGTCACCAATACTTCTTATCAAGTGCTTTATTGAATACTCATCCAACAAATTATTTGTCATCCCTGGATAAGCTCGTTTGACCAAAGATGCAATTCTATTGGCAAGTGAATCAATATTTTCATTCTCTTGCCTCTTAACTCCAGACATGAGTTCATCGAAAGCACAAATTTCTTTTGTGTCTGTCGTTTCGAGAATACGAAGCATTTCGCGTCGCACTGATGAATAAATAAACGGAGAATTTCCTAAAGCGGTATTAAAAGCTCGTTCTGCTCTTCCGCTGATTTTAGATTCCAATGCTTTTAATCGCACAACATCTGATATCCCTTCAGTTGCAGAATCGAATTTTTTGAAGAATGTCTTAATTTGATCGACACCTTCAGGACCTTTCAAATCTGGGATTTTGTCTAGTGCCCACGAAAGAGACATCCTGTCAAAACTATGCATGAACCCAGCAAAGTCTGTTGTGGGTCTTTGACTGCTTTCATTATTGATTGGTGGCTGCGCCACTTGTGTAACAGTCTGCTGGAAATTCTGTTGGGGCTGAGCTTGGTGAACAGAGTTCATTTGAGGCGGAAAATTTTGCGAGTTATTCGTTGGAATTTGCGAATACTGCATGAACTGTTGTGGATACATGGGCATTAACATAGGAATTTGACAATTTGGAAATTGTGTATACATTTGCTGATTTGCAAACTGCTGAGTCATAACAGGCATATTCGGAATCTGGTACGGAAAACAAACGTTCTGTGCCGCGTGTAGCACATTGTTTTGTGCTGGAGAAGTTTGAGTCTCGTTTGTTCTCATAACATTTTCTCCTATTTCACTTTCCACATCCAGAATATCGTCCCTTCCTGAATTTTCAATATTGGAAGTTTGATTTTCAAAAGCTTCTTTTTCCAAAGCTTTATCTTTTGCTCTACTTCTTGTTAAAACAGGAGAACGGGTTATCATTCAATTCTTTATAAATTACAATTTTGTTTATGCTCGCCTAGAGCTTTTGATGAGTCACAAAACAAAAAATCAATTCAAACAGTTTTCAAAATTGTGCCCGCCTAGGGTCTTTTTGTTGAGTCAATTTGTTTGCAGCAATTGAATCGATTGCCTGCCAAGGTCAAACAAAGTTTAAAATTTTCTCTTTCTTGTTTCTTTTTATACCCGCCTAGGGTTTTTGTTGAAGAAAATAAATTAAAGTTTTTCACAAAACTTTCTAAAATTAAAAAATTTTTTGAGTCGAAGCTCGCCTAGAGCTGTTAGATGCTCGCCTAGAGCTCTAAATTCAATAAAAAATTTTTTGGTGTTGCTCGCCTAGAGCCTTCAAAAAATAAAATTCAAATCGATCTCGAGACCGTTGAAAAATTTAGGAAAATTTTTCGTCCGCAGGAGCGCCACGTGAGAAATAAAATAACTTTCTCTTATAACTTCTTTTTAATTTACTCTTCTTTAAATCAATTCCAAGCCAATTCAAATAAATATTTATTTCAAAGAGGCAATACAATTCAACAAATAAATTATGGGAATAAATAAAGAGGGGGGAACACCACTAACAAAATTAAGAATGAACCGAATGAACAATTTTGGGGAGAGAGAATTTTCTTTTATAGGAACATAAAAAGGGATAAAATGTCATTTATTTATTTTATTTAAATTTAAAGTCATTTGAGTCTGTGCGTCACCACATTATAGCTCGACGGTACATTGGTCGCGCTGTACATTGAGTGTACCGATCCAGCATGTTTTTCCTTTCTCTGGGATATCTTATGAATATCTTATGAAGCTGGAATATCTTATGAAGGGTATAAGTGAAGGATGTGAAGGATGGAATATCTGAGAAAGGAAAAACATGCTGGATCGGTACACCTCATGTACCGCGCGACCAATGTACCGTCGAGCTATAACTTCGATATCTTAGTTTGGAAAAAAGGAAGGGTGTGATATCTGAGAAAGCTGCAAGTCAGAGAAAAGATATATTGGAGATAGATAAGCTAGAGCGTCAAACTAACACCTTTTCCACCAAAAAATTTAAAAAATTCACCAGTTCCCCCATTACTACTGTTCGTATTGTAGCTATGTTCACTTCCATTACAACCAATGCTTGAGGTTGCAGAAACTTTTCTTGGAGTTGCCGACTCTGTTGGGGATAATAAAGGTTGTTGTTGATTTAAAATTAAATTGTTTGTTGCGTGCTGTTTTCGTATTCCGTTTAATTGTCTTTGTTGTTTGTGTTGATTATATGTTTGTTTTTGTTGTTGTTGCTAAAAATTGTGAATGTTTAAATTAAATTCTGATTTTATTTGTTTAGATAGAATTCTGGTTTTTATTAATTTTGTTTAGATAATATTCTGATTTTTTTGTTTTATTTGTTTTTTTATTTGTTTTTATGAAATTCTGATTTTATTTTCCCATTGTTTGAATAGAATTCTGGTTATTGTTTTACTTGTTCGGATAAAATTCTGATTTATTAAACTTAATGTTTATTACATTGTTCAGATGAAATTTCTGATTTTTTATTTGTTATTTGTTCAAATAAAATTCTGATTTTTTATTTGTTATTTGTTCAAATAAAATTCTGATTTTTTATTTGGTATTTGTTCAAATAAAATTCTGATTTTTTATTTGTTATTTGTTCATATAAAATTCTGATTTTTTATTTGTTATTTGTTCAAATAAAATTCTGATTTTTTATTTGGTATTTGTTCAAATAAAATTCTGATTTTTTATTTATTTGTTTAAATAAAATTCTGATTTTTTATTTGTTCAGATAAAATTCTGATTTTTTATTTGTTCAGATAAAATTCTGATTTTTTATTTATTTGTTTAAATAAAATTCTGATTTTTTATTTGTTATTTGTTCAAATAAAATTCTGATTTTTATATTTTTTATTTGTTCAAATAAAATTCTGATTTTTTATTTGTTATTTGTTCAAAAAAAAAATCTGATTTTTTATTTGTTATTTGTTCAAAAAAAATTCTGATTTTTTATTTGTTATTTGTTCAAAAAAAAATTCTGATTTTTTATTTGTTATTTGTTCAGATAAAATTCTGATTTCTTATTTGTTCAAGTAAAATTCTGATATAACTTACCAAATGCTTAGAACGCCAGGCAAAGTTTGGAGAAGCAGCAGACGTCAAAATCGAATTATTGTTTATTTCAACATTATTAATACAATTATTCTTTTCTTCTTCATTATTTTTTAAATTATTTTTAATTATAGTAACAGAATTATTTCTAAAATCTTTAGCATCAGAATTCTCTCTACTTAAAGCTACAGGTGTTTTTGCATCCTCTTCTTGTTGGAATTGATTGTAATGATTTCTGATTGTTATAGATGATAGTGAATCTATTATATCCACATCTTCGTCATCGTCATCAAGGTCGTCGTCTATGTCATCGTCGATATGTGGGGCGACTGAAAAAAAATTTTTTTATTTTTTAGAAAGGATTTACTAGTCAGCCCGTCCCTTTCAGACTAGGAGGTAGGCTAGAAAGCACATGTCCCATTCGGATTAGAGGATAGGTTGGAAAGAGCGTGTCCCTTTCAGATTGGGAGTAGGCTGGAGAGAACATGTCCCTTTCGGACTAAGAAGTAAACTGAAGAAAACGTTTCTCTTTCGGACTAGGAGATAGGCTGGAGAGAACGTGTCCCTTTCAGACCAGGAGAGGTATACTGAAAAGCCATGTCCCATTCGGATTAGGAGGTAGACTGAAAAGAACTTGTCCCTTTCAGACCAGGAGAGGTAGACTGAAAAGAACGTGTCCCTTTCAGACTAGGAGGTAGGCTAGAAAGCCATGTCCCATTCGGATTAGGGGGTAGACTGAAAAGAACGTGTCCCTTCAGACTGGGAAGTGGGCTAAAGAGAACATGCCCCACATGAACTAGAAAGTAAGCTGCAGAGAACGTGTCCCTTTTAGACCAGGAGAGGTAGGCTGAAAAGAACATGTCCCCTTTCAGACTAGGAGGTAGGCTGAAGAGAACATGCCCCGTTGCTTGTATTGGGTCTAATTTAAAAATTCCAAGAAAAATTTTTTCAGCTCACCAATTCCATAACCCAAAGATCCATTCACATTATTCATTTCCCCATCCTTCACACCCTCATCTAACGAATGAGTCTTTAACATCCACGAATTTCTAATTTGCCTATTATTCCTCTGTTGTCTCCTCCAATAATCATTGTCATCCTCCGATGGAGGCTCTGACGACATTTTTCCACTGTCTGGACTGACAGACCTTGGATTTGTGTGATTCAAAGGGCTTTGGTGGGGTAAAATTTTTTGTTGTTGTGAATTTTGTGTTTGGCAATCTGTCAGGATAAAACGACGTTTGGTCCCCATAGGTGCGTTTCTGACATTATTAAAAGCACTTCCGACATCATCGGCTAAACCAGAATCTGTTGATTGATGTAAGGGGGAAGATGAGGGGACTGAAGGGATCGGTTGATTGATGCTGCTGTTTTCTGTGTGGTTATTGATGGTAGGGAGAAGAGGACCATCTTCGAGAAAACTGAAAATGAAAAATAAAAATTTATCTTGAGAGATAATGTCCCCTTCGGACTATAAAGTAGGGTGAAGAGAAGCATGTTCCTTTCAGACTATGGGGTCAGCTGGAAAGCCTACTTCCACTGGAACCAGGAAGTAGGCTGAAGGGAAAATGCCCCCTTGTCCCTTTCAGACTAGGAAGAAGGCTGAAGAGAACATCCCTCTGTCCCTTTCGGACTAGAAAGTAGGCTGAAGAGAACATGCCCCTTTGTGCTCTCAGATTATTAGGTAGGCTGAAGGGAACATCTCCCTTTCGGACTAGAAAGTAGGCTGAAGAGAACTTGTCCCTTCGTGCCCTTCGGACGAGGTAGGTTGTAGAGAACATGCTCCTTTCCGCCTAGGAGGTAGGCTGAAGAGAACATGCTCATTTCAGCCTAGGAGGTAGGCTGAAGAGAACATGTCCTTACCATCTTATCAAAGATTAAAAATTAAAAATCTACCCATCAAAAAGTTCATGTGCATATTCAATCAAAAAGATAACCAAATTTGGTATAATACGCACAGACTCGACCTGCTCAAGCTTCTCAAGCAGAGAAGGTGCCACACAAACAGCTAGTGCACTAACACCCATACGGGTTTGTTCTTCATTTTGGGCTACCTATTTTTTTGAATTAAATCAGAATTATTTCCCATCCTTCCCCCACCTTTCTCAAAAGCCGCAGGACAGATCTCAACAGAACCACGTGTGCTGGAGGCAGCAGAGCCAACAACTTTCGACAGCGCTGAACGCGGTCTTGATGCAGAAGCAGATTTTGTTTTTCATTTTCAGAGGAGGGAGAGGACTTTGGGGAAGAATTTGGAGGGGGAGACATGTTGGCAACATCGGCCCAGAGGCGATAATTGCCCGAAAGGAGCAGTTGGCCTGGAATGCTGCGCAAGTAGTCCTTGAGAAGTGAGGCGGTTACGTGGATGTTGAATTGGTGGAAGTCGGGGACTTGTCCCTGAAAATGTGTAATTAAAATATATTTTCAGAATAAATCAGAATCTTGATCAGAATTATGACCAGAATTAAAATCAGAAAAATCAGAATTCTGAATATAAAATCAGAATCATAATCAGAAGTAAATCAGAAATTCTGAATAAAAATCAAAATTTTTAATCAGAATAAATCAAAATTCAAGATCAGAATTCTGGATATAAAATCAGAATTAAAATCAGAAATTATGAATAAAAATCGAAATTTCAGAATGAAATATCAAAACATTATTTTTCCAAGATTTATAAAAATCAGAATTATTTCCAGAATTTTAAAAATCAAAATTTTTTTCAGAATTTTTTTCTAAAAATCAGAATTATTTTCAGAATTTACAAAAATCAGAATTATTTCCAGAATTTATTAAAATCAGAATTATTTTAAGAAATCAGAATTAAATTTCAGAATTAAATATATAACCCCCACCATATCCAACTGCTGCCTCAACAACCTAACAGTTTGTTGCTTTGGCGATTTTCTAAAAATTCCCTCAGCATCTGCCCCATACAAAAGTAGATGATCTATCATAGTTAATACAGGCTGTGGGGGCATAGTTCCACGAAGTTGGCGGCCAAACAGGCGCTGTTTTTTGTTTGGCATTTTTAATTTTTTGCCGCTATTTGGGTCAATTCCAAAGGGAGGAGGGTTTGTTGTTGGAGAGTTACAACCGCTAGAAGTGGCGGAATCGGTTCTTCCGAGTACCACACGTCTGGAAAAAATTTAAAAATTAAAAAAAAATTTTTTTTTATTTTCATAGAAATTTTCTCAGTAAAATTGACGATAAAACTCATAAAATAACCAATATTCAAAAATTCATATCTCTGCCTAGAAAAAATATTTTGGACCAAGTTTTTTGATTCTAGTACCAAAAATCAAGTAGAATAAGAATATCATAATGTTCCCTTGAAAAATTTTTCAGGAATTTTTTTTTAAATTTGAAAAAAAATTTTAAGGTAGATTAATAGTAAAAACCATGAAATGCCCGATATTCAAAAATTCATATCTTCGCCTAGAGAAAATATTTATGGACTATGTAGGTTTTTCTAATTATAGTTCCTAAAATCAAAGAGAATAAGAATATCTTGATGGACCCCTCGAAAAAAATTTTTGAAAATTTTTTTCTTAAAGATTTTGGCTCATCCTCCTCGTCAAAAAATGCCCAATTTTCAAAAATTCATATCTCTGCCTAGAAAAAATATTTTTGTAAGAGGTTTTTGATTCTGGTACCTAAAATCGTGGAGAATAATAATATCTTGATGGGTTCCCTCGAAAATTTTGACAGAAATTTTTTTCGAAATTTTTCTAGGCAAATACGCATTTTAATGGAAGACAAGACCTACCCTCCTTTATCCCAGCTTAATTCCTCTCCATTAATTTTTCAGGAAAAACGCTGAAACATGTCAAACGAGGCTTGTTTCAAGCTTTCGAATGATATATAGAACATGTATTTTTGAAGTAAAAATTTTTCAGAAATTTTTGAAAATTTCACCTAAACTGATTAACCAAATTCAACGCCGCCCTTTTATTATGATGCCCAGAAGCGTGTGAAGGCGAATTACTTGGACCAGTCTGTCTCAAAAGCAATTTACAATTAACTAAAGGGCAAGTATCCAAATGAGCCAACTGGGAATCGGAAAGGCTAATGCCTAATTGGGAGCGAACAAATTCCATTAGAACGGCGTAGACGTTTTCAACCTGTTTAAATTAATTTTAAATAAAGTGGGAAACCAGAATTAATTTCAGAATTTTTTTCAGAATTTAGAAAAACCAGAATTCTGATTTTTCAGAATTAATTTCAGAATTAAAAATCAGAATTTCTATTTTCAGAATAAAATCAGAATTAATTTCAGAATTATTTCAGAATTTAGAAAAACCAGAATTCTGATTTTTCAGAAATAAAATCAGAAATAATTTTGAAATAAAAAATCAGAATTCTGATTTTTCAGAATTAATTTCAGAATAAAAACCAGAATTAAAAGTAAAATTCTGATTTTTCAGAATTAATTTCAGAATCGACCCAGAATTAATTTCAGGATTAAAATCAGAATTAAACCAGAATTTATTTCAGAATTTATGAAAATCAGAATTCTGATTTTTCATAATTAAAAATCAGAATTAATTTCAAAATTAAAAACCAAAATTGATATCAGAATTTTTAAAAATCAGAATTTATAAAATCAGAATTCTGATTTTTCAGAATTAATTTCAGAATAAAAACCAGAGTTAAAAATAAAATTCTGATTTTTCAGAATTAATTTCAGAATCGAACTAGCATTAATTTCAGAATTCAAATCAGAATTAAACCAGAATTTATTTCAGAATTAAAAATCAGAATTCTGATTTTCCAGAATTAAAATCAGAATTAATTTAAAATTAAAAATCTCAATTCTGACTTTTCAGAATTAATTTCATAATTAAAAATCAGAATTAACTAAGTTAACTCACTCCGTGCAAAGGCTGTATAGCAGCACTATTGTACTGACAATTATTATAAACAGGCGACCTATGTGCCGCTTGCAAAGGAGAAACAATGCAAGTATGCGACTGTACTCTACGTAAAATTGCCGGGGACGAAGACAATGAAGAATTATTTAAATTTTCTTTTTTATTTAAATTTTCTTCTTTTTTATTTATTAAATTTTCTGAAGCCCCAAATAATTGGGGTGAAGGGGGTAATTTTGTTTCAATAGAGGAATTATTGGTAGTGTTGTTGTTGCTAGGCAGAAAACTGCTTATATGACAGCCTAGACAAATTTAATTTTTATTTTTTTATTTTTTTGTATTTTTTATTTTTTGTAGTAATTTAATAATTTTTAAATTCAAAATTCCAATTAAATTTTGGCATTAAATAAAAAAATATTTAATTGGGATATAATGGTACTCCCGTTATAAGACCCCTAAAAATTCAGTTTAGAAAGGTATTTCTTTACATAACTAAAGGGAAATAAGAGTCGAACCGGTCCGATCCCAATATAAAATACCCCCAAATATTAGTTGTACCATTCGACGACAAAAGGGTACAACCGACAAAACGGTTCACCGATAAAACGGTACAAACGACAAAATGGTTCAGCGACAAAATAGTTCGCCGACAAAAGTGTTCAGGGACGAAATGGTTCACGGACAAATTGGTACACGGACAAAATGGTTCTCCGACAAAATGGTCAACGACAAAAGGGAACTGATATGTAGTTTAATCACTTGGTGGGAGGGCTACCTGAAAAATACCCCCTCTCCATTTAACATACACCTCTATTTAAGAGACACCCCATTATATGCTACAATTTTTTATAACCCCAAAGGAGTATCGTACAATGAGGCAATTTTTAAAAAATTTTTAAAAAATATTATTCACCTCCTCCACTATTCCGTCTACTTCCAGGGCAAAAGCAAAGCTCGTAATGTCCCAAATGAGGGTCTATAACAGGCAAATGAAGCTCTATACGTAAAGCCTCAATTAAATCCTCGGCGCGTTGACCGTTTTTGACTTCTCTTCGAATTTGCTGAAAAAATATAAATTATAAGTAAATGAATCAGAATAAATAAATCAGAATAAATAATTATAAAAAATCAGAATTATTTTCAGAATTAATATTAAAAAATAAAAAACCAGAATTTTACGAAATCAGAATTTTTAAAAATCAGAATGGTACTTTTCCGTTCTGCCACACCCCCCTAAATTAATGTTCAAAATGCCATATATTAGGTAAAAAAGGTACTGAGTCAAACAGTACCACTCTTTTCCCCGGAGATGCCTTTGGATCAAAATTTTTTGCTCGAAATGGTCAAAAACCATAGAAGGGAGTAAGCTCAATTTTGGGATAAAAAATTCAAATATGCATATAATACCTCATTCGAAAGAGCTCGTCGAGCTGAGTCGAATGACACCAAAATTAATGAAATCTGATTTGATTTGACTGAGATACAGGTCTCTGAAAATTGAAGAACCACACACATTTTTGTATCGTAACTTGGTCCAAACTTGTTAGACCGCGGTGATTTTGGTGTCTTTCGACTCAGCTCCATGAGCTTTTTAGAATGAGGTATTATTTGCATATTCGAATTTTTTATCCCAAAATTTAGCTTACTCCTCCGTATGGTTTTTGACCATTTCGAGCACAATATTTTGGTCCAAAGCCATTTTCGGGAAAAAAGAGTGGTACCGTTGGACTCCGCATCTTTCTTTACCCTAAATGTGACATTTTGAACATCAATTTAGGGGGGTGTGGCAGAACGGAAAAGTACCATCAGAATTTTAAAAATCAGAATTTTAAAAATCAGAATTTTAAAAATCAGAATTTTAAAAATCAGAATTATCAAAAATCAGAATTATAAAAATCAGAATTTTTAGAAACCAGAATATTTAAAAATCAGAATCTATAAAAATCAGAATTTATAAAAATCAGAATTTTGAAAATCAGAATTATTAAAAATCAGAATTTTTTGATCACAGAATTTATAAAAACCAGAATATTTAAAAATTAAAATAAATAAATAAAAATTAAATCGGAAAATAAAAATATGAGGTAATCAAGGTTGTTGAAGGGAGAAAAAAAATTTTTTAGTTAAAATGAACAAAAATGTATCAAAAATTAAAAAGAAAATATTTTAAGAACACAAAAAAAAATAAATTATTAATTATAATAAATAAAAAATCAAGGTCATTATTAGAAATTATTTTATTAAAGGAATAAGGAATTTTATTTTTTAAATGGAGGAGTTATTTGAGAAACTGGAATAATAATACGCAACGAAAAAATATTTAAAATAAATGGTATATGTTTAAAAAATCAGATAGAAAATCAGAATCGTCAGAAAATTAGCAAAATCAGAATAAATAGTTATAGAATATCAGAACCATATTCAGAATTAATTTAAAAAAATAAAAATATAAAACATTAATGATCAGAAAGTAAATAATCAGAATATCAAACGTCAGGATTTTTAGAAATCAAAATATTTAAAAATCAGAATTTATGAAAATCCGAATGCTAAAAATCCGAATTATCAAAAATGAAAAGCTTTTGAGATCAGAATTTTATAAAAATCAGAATTATTTTAAAATCAGAATTTTTAATAATCAGAATTATCAAAAACCAGAAAAATAAAAATCAGAATATTATCATCAAAAATATTTATAATCAGAATTTTTAAAAATCAGAATTAATTTAAACCGATTAAAATCAGAATTATTTTTAAAACAAATTAAAATCAGAATTAATTTAAAAATAATTCAGTGGAAAGGAATACTCACTTAAAGAAGGTACTGTAGTTTGAGCGCAAATTTGTTTTCTTATTTATTTTCGGTTTATTTTGCATTTAATTTTATTTTTTAAAAATTTTTCATAATTTTCCTATTAAGTAGGATTTTTTAAAATTATTATTTTTTTAATTTCATTTTTAATGCATTCGCCAAATAAAAAAAATAAAAATAAATGAGTAAAAGGTGAAAACTAATATTTCATACTCTCACTAGACAAATAAATCATTAAAAAACGGAAATATTTTTGAAAATACATTAATAATTTTTGCGCCCTTTCCATCTATTTTTCATTTAGAATTTTTGTTTTCAAAACTTTAAAAACAAAATTTAATTATTT